TGATCTGCCGAGCTTGCAAATAAGAGCAGATTGGCTAAATAAGCTACAACTGAAATTCACTTCAGCCAAAGGGGGACCAGCGCCTTTTAACATAACTTTGGTGAAGATATGATCAACCAAGGAAAATCCCAGGTAATGGCTCAAAATAAAAATAACCCATAGAGCTTTGCATTTGTATATAAAACCCCAAATATTTATTAAAAAAATACACTCACATTAAATGCACATAGAATCACCTATTAATAAACTCAATACGAGAGCAGGGACAGCTCTCAACTCTCAGCATCCAATGGTAATGCTGCACAGGATATTTTGCAACTGCTGCTATATGAGCTCTCTCCTCTCACTCCTTTGTGTGTAACTGACAGGTCTCCATGATCCGCCCTATGCGTCACATCGACTTCTTCTGTCTACATTGAAAGATTTCCTCCTATTCTAGTGACAATTTAAAATGTGGGATTTTCTTTTACTCTCACTCTCGGTGATAATGGTAAACAGGGCAATTAGAGAGGGTGAAAACCACCACTACCGTCAGAAAGTCAAGTAGGAGGAGACATATGAACAGTTTTCTGACCTCTGCAAGCATAGGTTTTTAGAAATCTGGAATCTTCTCACACAAATGCCACAGTGACAACACTCAGGACCAATCACATGGCCTGATACCTAGAACAGGAATAAGATTTAATTTACATCCTCAGTCCCAGCATCCAACTCCCCCTGCTTTTCTGTCATGGAATTCTTATGTGTTCTTCATTGAGATACAGTTGCAAGAAAAAGTATGTGAACCCCTTGGGATTACGTGGAGTTTTGCATGAATTGGGCATAAAATGTGCTCTGAACGTCATCTAAGTCGCAACAAAAGAAGCACACAGTCTGCTGAACATAATACTACACAAACATTAGATGTTGCCATGATTTAATTGCACATAACATGTAAACATTCACAGTGCAGGGAGGAAAAAGTATGTGAACCTTTGGACTTAATAACTGGTTAACCCTCCTTTGGCAGCAATAACCTCAACCAAACGTTTCCTGTAGTTGCAGATCAGACCTGCGCAACGATCTGGAGTAATTTTGGACCACACTCCTCTTCACAAAACTGTTTCAGTGTAGCAATATTCTTGGGATGTCTGTTGTGAATCGCTCTCTTAAAGTCATGCCACAGCATTTCAATTGGGTTGAGGTCAGGACTCTGACTGGGCCACTCCAGTAGACGTATTCTGTGCTGTTGCAGCCATTGTTTTGTTGAATTACTTGTATGCTTTGGGTCATTGTCCTGTTGCATCACCCATCCTCTGCGGAGCTTCAGTTGGCGGACAGATGGTCGTACGTTTTCCTGCAAAATGTCTTGATAAACTCTGGAATTCATTTTCCCATCAATGACAACAATCCATCCAGGCCCTGAGGCAGCAAAGCAGCCCCAAACCATGATGCTCCCTCCGCCATGTTTTACAGTGGGGATGAGGTTTTGATGTTGTGTGCTGTGCCCTTTTTTCTCCACACATAGTGTTGTGTGTTCTTCCCAAACAACTCAATCTTGGTTTCATCTGTCCACAGTATATTTTGCCAGTAGTGCTGTGGAACATCCAGGTGCTCTTTTGCAAACTTCAAAACGTGCTGCAATATTCTTTTTGGACAGCAATGGCTTCCTCCGTGGTGTCCTCCCATGTACTCCATTCTTGTTTAATGTTTTCCTTATTGTAGATGTGTCAACAAAAATGTTAGCATGTGCCAGAGATTTCTGTAGGTCTTTAGCTGACACTCTGGGATTCTTCTTTACCTCATGCAGCATTCTGCACTGTGCTCTTCCAGTCATTTTTACAGGACGACCCCACATAGGGAGAGTAGCAACAGTACTAAACTTTCTCCATTTGTAGACAGTCTGTCTTACTGTGGACACATGAACATCAAGGCTTTTGGAGATACTTTTGTAACCCTTTCCAGCTTCATGCAAGTCAACAATTCTTGATCGTAGGTCTTCTGAGAGCTCTTTTCTGCGAGGCATGGTTCACATCAGACAGTGCTTCTTGAAACCAGTAAACCCAAAACAGCTGTGTGTTTTTTAAGGGCAGGACAGCTGTCAGCAACACATCCAATATCATCACACTGATTGGAGTCAAGGTTGGCTCACTCCTGGCTCCAATTAGCTCTGGGAGAAGTCATTAAGCTAGGGCCTCACATACTTTTTCCTCCCTGCACTGTGAATGTTTACATGTTATGTGCAATTAAACCATGGCAACATCTAATGTTTGTGTGGTATTATGTTCAGCAGACTGTGTTCTTCTATTGTTGTGACTTAGATGACGTTCAGAGCACATTTTATGCCCAATTCATGCAAAACTCCACGTAATCCCAAGGGGTTCACATACTTTTTCTTGCAACTGTATATATATATATGTGTGTGTGTATATGTATATACATTATATATATATATATATATATATATATATATATATATATATATATATATACACACATACACATACACATACATATACATACATACATATACACACACAGTTAGGTCCATATATATTTGGACACAGGAACAATTTAAAAATTTTCAGGTATTTACCAAAACATATTCAAGCTATAGTTATATAATGGATATGGGCTGAAAGTGCACACTCTCAGGTTTAAGTTGAGTGTATGTACATCCAAATTGGAGGAAGGGTTTAGGAATTACAGCTCTTAAGAGTAGCCATTCCTCCTTTTTTCAAGGGACAAAAAGTGATTGGACAGTTGAATCAAAAGCTGTTTCATGGCCAGGTGTGGGCTACTCCTTCGTTATTTCTTCATCAGTTAAGCAGGTATAAGGTCTGTAGTTGATTCTAAGTGTGGTATTTGTATTTGGAATCTATTGCTGTGAACCTACATCATGCATTCAACGCAGCTGTCCATGCAAGTGAAACAGGCCATCGTAAGGCTTCAAAAACTATACAAATCCATCAGAGAGATAGCAGCAACATTAGGAGTGGCCAAATCAACAGTTTGGTACATTCTGAGGAAAGAAGAACACAGTGGTGAGCTCAGCAACATAAAAGGCATGGACAAACAAGTGAAGGACACTCTCCAGGAGGTTGGCGTATCATTGTCAAAGTCTACAATCAAGAAAAGACTTCACAAGCGCAAATACAGAGGGTTCACCACAAGGTGCAAACCATTCATAAGCCTGAAGAATAGAAAAGCCAGATTAGACTTTGTCATCATGTTGGAGGCAGTGTGATGGCATGGGCATGCATGGCTTCCAGTGGCACTGGGTCATTGGTGTTTATTGATGATGTGACAGAAGCAGCTGGATGAATTCTGCAGTGTTTAGCGATATACTGTCAGCCCAGATTTGTCCAAATGCAGCAAAGTTGATTGGATGGCGCTTCACAGTACAGATGGACAATGATCCAAAACACACTGCAAAAGCAACCCAGGAGCTTTTGAAGGAAAAGAAGTGGAATATTCTGCAATGGCCGAGACTATCACCTGATCTCAACCTGAAGGCAAAACTAAAGGAAGAAAGACCCACAAACAAAGAACAACTGAAGACAGCTACAGTTAGAGCCTGGCAAAGCATCAGAAAGGAGGAAACCCAGTCTTTGGTAATGCCCATGGGTTCCAGACTTCAGGCAGTCATTGACAGTAAAGGATTCTCAACAAAGTATTAAAAATTAACATTTTATTTATGATATATTTCAATTGTCCAATTACATTTGAGCCCCTGAAAATGGAGGGATTGTATATAAAAATGGCTGTAGTTCCTAAAATTGGACTTGATATTTATGTTCAACCCCTTGAATTAAAGCTGAACGTCTGCACTTAAAATTCATTTGGATTATTTCGTTTTAATTTATTCTGCTGGCATACAGAGACAAAAAGTAAGAAAATTGTGCTTGTGTCCAAATATATATGGACCTAACTGTATGTATTGTATATGTATATCACTCAACATTACAAAACACGAATACATTGTGAATTCTGAACAACCTTCCCTAATGTGGAATGTGTGCTAAGGTAGACCATGCGTCATGGTATGCAAAATTCTTAGTAATGGTCAGTAAATGAAAACTGTGAAGGAGGAAATGGCAACTTGCTAAAATGGACTTGGCAAGTATTTTTTTTTATTTTTTTTTATTTTTTTTTTTTAAGAAAAAACTTTTTAAACAAGTGTTTACAATATGTACAACTAAAAGTAAGTTCAAAAGAGTATATAAATGACTTTCTTGCAGCATTTTGGAAAATTCCATGTTTGAAAAATTACAGCTAGAAAAGTCAGTCCACCAAAAACTTTTTTTTTTTTACGCTAGAGTTAACTTGCCTGATAATTTATTATAACTCTCTATAACTATTGATGAGATCTATGAACTTGAGTTCCTGTGTCTGCATCTTTTTTTGTTTTGAGAAGTTATATTATGAACAATGCATCAGAAGCAGTGAAATATACATTTATTGAGAACCTTTGCCAAGACTGTAGTTCAGCACTCCACTATCTTAATCCCACAATAAAAAATGCCAGAGGTAGACTCTGCCAACCCATAAGTAAGATATCAGTTTTGGGTGGACTTGCTTATTAAATGCACATTTTTTTTTGCAGATAAAAAAAAAATGTGCATTTACTCTTTTTTTTTTTTTTTTTTCAGGAAAGCACTGCAGCAGTGATCAGCAGGAGCCGGTGCTACAGTAACATGTTACACCCTGAATATGGGTATACAATGTAACATGTTACAAACGGTGAACTTATCCTTTAAGATGTTATAACATCCATTTTTATTTCTTATGATCTTCACAGTAATCAGCACAGTCCACATATTTCTTCTCTTTAATAGCAGGTCGCTTGAACCATCGAGATCACGCTGTCATACTAGAGAGGGGCTTGGCTGTGTGTGAATGCATCCAGGACAACAATGCAGCGAATCGTGAATAAACATGTCACAGTCCACACAAAAGACACACTGACACACAGTGCAAATGTAAACCTGTAAAAGATAAAGAGAAATTAACATGTACATTTAAGAGGTAAAGAATTAGAAACTTGGAAGCAAATTGATAAGTTACAGTTGACCATAAGGCAATATACCAAAAATAAAGCAGGTCTAAATGAAAGTAGCCACAGGCATTAGATCTACAGTAAAACAGCCCAACAAACATTTTAAATTAGTCATCCAGTTGTACAATCTGTTCTGTACTGAAAATTACTATATAATAATATTTTACACCATTCTATAGGCATGATTTTTTTATATCTGCAGTCTTGAAACTGCCCAAGCTACTACCAATTAGATCTGTGTGTACCTTTTCCTAATTAACAGCTCTAAAAAGCTCTCAAAAGGTTAAGCTGGTCATACATGGATCAAAATTAGGCCAGTTTAGCAGGGACCAGTCAATTTTCGATCCATGTTTGGCCACTGTGGTTAAGCAGAAGTCTATCTACAAATTGACTTCTGTTCAACTGCCCTGCCGGTATTTTCTTGCTAGATCAGTGCCGCAGGCAATAGGCTACAGCACTGATAGGTGCATTCTGACAGCAGGGGAGTCTCCCCACTGTCAGGATACAAAACATAGCGGGGACAATTCAGGCATCCATGTCGACTATGTGGATGTGTGGAATCAGGTCAGTTTCTTTCATTCAACCCCCTAGCTGAACAAAAAAAAAAAAACTGATCCATGTATGGCCAGCATTGGAGAACACAAGTTTCTAAACTCCTATAAGCTATAATTTAATTGGCTTAGACGCAAACAAAAGAAGGCATTAGCCAGAGTGATAGGCAAGAAAATATGACTACCACTGAAACCTTCATCTTATAACTAATAAGATGTTCAAAAGACAATAAAAAAAAAACCCCTACAGGTCAGGAACACAATTCCATAACAACTTTTGTCCTGGTATTTGTCCTCAAACTCCAGTCATTTTTACACTAGGGAATAAGCAGTAGAGACAAAGCTTTAGCACCAAGCCACAAGATGCATATTCTACAACCAGCACCACCAGAGGAGAAAGTTACAGGGCATACTTCACAAATTCTAGATAAATATGATGTCTTTTTCCCACAGAAAAAAAAAATTACAGATATAGACAAGCTAAAAGCACAAATACTCTCAGCAAATTCACTCCTAGCTTGATGTTCTAAGGAAGTGAATACTCTATAAACTATCGGACAGTCCTGAAGATTATCAGTACAGGTATGGCGTTTGTTATCTAGTCTAAGAAATCCCCAATAACATTCACAGCGAAATATTAGCCACCCAACAGAGTTGTTATAGGTCACTATTTAACCTCCCTAGCGGTCTGACTATGTCCATATTTCTGTGCTCAAAGCGGTACATTTTTTTGCATGGAAATATGTATTTTTTTTTATTGTAGACCTGTAATTTTTAGGAATATCTCACTGAAATCTGTCCGAACAAGAGTCTAGTAAACATCCCGGGTAGGATAAAACTTGAAACACGAAATCATAAATTATAATTTAATAAATAATCATAAAAAATAATAATATAATAAATTTAATTCAACAATATAATCAAACCAAAAACACTGAAATTTGAAATATAGCGCCAAGTTCGCACATCACTAAGCAAAGTCGCAGAATCGTTTTCAGTGTCTGATGACGAATGTCCCCACGAATCATTATCACTCAATTCTGCAAGTAGTTCTAATTTACTATCGCTGTTTTCTAGCTGATCTAAAACTACTTTTGACCTAAAGGGATGCTTTTTGGACACCATGGACGTTTTCTCAGTTTCCAGGCAGAAAGAACAGTAAAAATGCAGGCAGGGCGCAGGACAAAACACTAGGGATAAAATGTATGTGAAATGGTTTGATACAGTAATGTTTTACTATGTGATTTTAGTGAATGTCACTTTTTGTCATTTTCAAATTTCCCGCCATTCCGTCCCCCGTACGTCCCGACGCTTGCAGGGGACGGAACCCAGATGACATATGCCAGCATCCGCCGGATTACATTGCCGGGGACACTGCAGGAGGGACATCGCGGGACGCAGGACAAGGTAAGTGATCAAGGGATCGCGGAGCAGCGCCACATGGTATTCCTGAGTGTAGCTCGGGGTTACCGCTTGTGGTACTGAAACTTTACCCCGAGCTACACTTGGGAATACTGCCAGGGAGGTTAACATGCAAGAAGAGTAATACAGATACAGAGTAAGGAGCTCATCTTGAAACATCACTTATTCCCCAAATCTACTTTTTACCCATGTTTAAAGGAAACTCTGGAGACTGCCAGTGCTGACTTCTTGTTAATTCATTTGTTGTCATGTTGAACTGCGGTCATAAATGAAGAACATGTATCAAGACAAGGACCTCTGACTTTGCACTGACTTTCCTGATTTGCATACTTGTTCCAGGTTGGTGACTTGTTATTGAAGCCAGAAAGTCAGCATAACTGCAAGCCGACAAGCACTGCCAGAATGAGGTCAGCAATGGCAGCCAGAGATTACTTTAATAAGCAGCACATCTTTTTGACTTGTACTTTACAAGGACTATTTCAATGGGCTACAAATAGGATGCAGACAAGAAAAGAAGGATAACAAGTAAAATAGAAAAAATGCACATAAAAATGACGACACTTACTTGTTGATCTTTTATATCTCCATCACAGCCTCGACAATACCTTGAGTAGATGAAACAAAATATATGTTACATTAGTATTTTAAGTGTGTGTGTGTATAACAAGTGGATAGCAACACATTAACAAAACATACTATAAGGCTAGGTTCACCCCTATGCAGGTTGCATTTGAGGCGTTTTTGCATTGCATTTACACAGTTTTTTTTTTTTTTTTTCTATTTTTCTTGTTGCTAGGCAGATTTTAAATGCAAAACGCATGAATAATGTGGCAAAAACACAATACATGTTTTTCTGCAGCGTTCCCATTGAAGTCTATAGAACTAAAAAATGCAACTTTTTGCATTCAAAAAAGTCCCTGACCCTTTCCAAAAAAAGTACCGGGTGAAAAACGCGAAGATGTGAACCTGTCTCATAGGAAATCATGTTAAATGAACTGTAGTGCGCTTCCGCAAAACGCTTAGGTGTGAACGTAGGGTAAAACGTAAGTATATGCAAAACCCCAACAAAGAACTTAGCTCCCATTCACACTTGAGTGTTTTTTTTTTCAACTCATTTCTCTATGCCGACTAAGCAGAACCCCATTCTTTCTAATTGTTTCTGTTCATACTTGTATCAAAAAGATACATGAGCTTTTTTTTTTTTTTATGTATTCAGGCATTTTGCTCAGAAAGACATCAATGGAACACCTTGAACCACTTCAAGTCCGGAAACTTTTACCCCCTTCCTGTCCAGGCCAATTTTCATCTTTCAGTGCTATCACACTTTGAATGACAATTGCGCGGTGCGGTCGTGCAACACTGTACCCATATTAATTTTTTAGCATTTTTTTGAGACAGATAAAGCTTTATTTTGGTGGTATTTATTCACCAAGATTTTTTTTTTTTTGCTATGTATATGAGAAAGTTCAAAAATTTTGAAAAAAAAGTGTTTTCTTATAAAAATTTGCAAATAAATAATATTTCATCATAAATCTTGGCCAAAATTTATTCTGTTATATTTTTAGTAAAAAAAAAAAAACCCAAAATTAGTATATAACCAAAAAATTATAATTTTTAAACATTTTTTTTTTTTATATTATTATTTATGGTTTTTTTTTTTGTTTTTTTTGTTTTTTTTTACACACTGTCACCCTAGTTGTACAGTGTCACCATGGTGACACTGTACTACTTGTGTGGGGTGATGAAGATTTGTTTATTTACAACTGATTGCTTTTACACCCATAAAGGCTGTAAAAGCAATCATTTCTCCATCTCTCTGGCTGCATTCTTGCAGCCATTGAGAACTACTGTTGAGCTGTGATTGGTCACAGCTTGTCACATGGTACAAGACTGTTGTGAATAGCCTTGTACCATGTGACCTCTGTGATCATTCACAGATTTCACACGTAGTAAACAACGATGTCAGAAGTGACATCTTGCTTACTACTCTGCATGTGATCACTGATTGGCCAATCAGTGATAACATGATCGGGACCTCGCACAGAGGTCCCGTACGACGATCAGGGTTCCACTGTGTCCGGAGGACACAGCGGGCACCGGATAGAGGTGCTACGCACTCTCAGGGAGCGCGCACAAGCAGGGGGCGGGGAGGCCGACCCTGCACTGCCACTGCCATTTCTTCAGTTACTTCCTGGTTCCCTGGCCTGTGCAAAATATGCCATAAATCCCAGGAGTCTTCAGAAAGAGAGAAGGGATTTTCTCGGCTATGTACGCCCTTCTGCCTGCTTACCTGAGTTAAGGGCAGGTGAATTCCAGGAAGTAAATTATATATTATTTATCTGCTTTTTCTCAAGGTGGCTACAGCCAAAAATGCTTTTTCAAAGTGATTTCTTAATAAAGCATGGAGACATGGATTGCGAGTTTGCTTTGAAAATTATAAATAAATTAACCACTTCAAGTCCGGACACTTTTACCCCCTTCCTGTCCAGGCCAATTTTCAGCTTTCAGCGTTATCACACTTTGAATGATAATTGCGTGGTCATGCAACACTGTACTCATATGAATTTTTTAGCATTTTTTTGAGACAGATAAAGCTTTATTTTGGTGGTATTTATTCACCACTGGGATTTTTATTTGTTTGCTATATAAATGAATAAAATAAATAAAAGTCCAAAAATTTTGAAAAAAAGTGTTTTTCTTATAAAATGTAGCAAATAAATAATCTTTCTTCATAAATCTTGGCCAAAATTTTTATTCAGTCATCTTTTTAGTAAAAAAAAAAAAAATTATAAATTAAAAAAAAAAAAAATTACATTTTTTTATTTTATATTATTTATGTTTTTTTTCATACTGTCATCCTAGCAGTACGGGGGGTTATGAAGATTTTTTTTTTTTTTTACACTGATTGCTTTTACACCCATAAAGGCTGTAAAAGCAATCATTTCTCCTTCTCTCTGGCTGCATTTTTGCAGCCAATGAGAAATACTGTGTGAGCTGTGATTGGTCACAGCTTAGCACATGGTACAAGGCTGTTTTGAATAGCCTTGTACCATGTGACCTCTGTGATCATTCACAGATTTCACACGGAGTAAGCAATGATGTCAGAAGTGACATCTTGCTTACTAATTTTCATGTGATCACTGACCAATCAGTGATCACATGATCAGGACCTCGCACACCGATCAGTGTTCCACTGTGTCTGGAGGACACAGATGGCCTGGATCACGGTGCTGTGTGCTTCAAGGGAGAGTGCACAAGCAGCGTGCGGGGAGGCCGTCCAGCCATTTACATACATCGGCTGAACGGGAAGTGGTTAAATCGTGTTTTTGGTTTGTGGTGCTCAGATGCGAAAAAAAAGCGAACGCATTAGGATTTCTGCTTTCTGTCCTGTGGTGGAGGCGGCTGCTACCCAACTTGAATTGTGCTAGTTTCAGGCCACACCAGGCAGCATTATGATGTTTCTTGCCCCTAAGCCAACATTACTTCTGACAGTCAGCTATTAGGGCAGATGGAAGCTTCAACTGCGCTAAAGTGCAACCATCTTGACAGGTTTCTTTGAAGAAAACTGCATCTCAAAACACCTTTCTGACATCAGACAGCAAAAATACAAATTACCTAAATGTAAATAATAATAGTATGATATGAAAAAAAAAAAAAAAAAAAACCTTACTTTTCCCCTTCATATTCTGCTGTGGGAACTTCTCTGAAAGCATCTAGTGGAAAAAGATGGTGGTACGACCGTGCTAAGTGCGGAGCAGACACTAATGTAAGGCCTAGCAGAAAAAGAAAAAACTTTTACTTTTAAGAGCAATAAAACAAAACAAAAACCTCTATCTTGAAGGAGAGTACAGAACACAGCCTGGATATTCATAGACCCTTTTAGGAGATGACCCCTAGCTTGTCCCAGGGCCCCCTATACCATTCCTGTTTATATATATCACTGGCTTTAATGCCATGGCTGTTGAAGCACAGGTTTTGAAAAGCGTAATAGTGCAACATGCTGTGTGATGTATTACACAGACTAAGCTCTGAATGGTAGAAATTTTACCGCCAAGTTTGAAAACTTAAAGACTCAATAAGTGAACATATTCAAACACAATTCCAAGTTTCCATATAGTTTTAACTGCAAAAATGAATACTATTCAGGAGAACCTGTATTACCTTTCCAAGTTCCTGGTCCCTGTATGGCTTCATACCCTCCAGGCTTCACCCATCACTGTGATTACATGCCCAAAGCAGTCTTCAGGGTCTGGGTTCCATAGTGACAGGCCACAGCCCTGTATAGCACCCTACAAATGGCTACACGCACTGTATAAAGTGCCAAAGTGAGCACCCGTGCAGGATCCAGTGTCCAAAGTAACTTTAAAGGCTACCCCCGCAGAGTGGGTCTGCATATGGCTCTCATGGTTTTACCATGGTCGCACTGATCTGGATGCAAGGGAGGTACCTCAAAAGCTTTGCCAGTGTCCAAGTGCCGGAAGGTATGAGCTTATAACCCAATATCTATGAATACTCAGCCTGCATCCTGGACTGTAAGATTAGGACATAATTATCACCAGAGAAATCTATCCAGGCTGATCCATTAATCCCCTAAACAGGTTCAGCCAAGGAAACCCAAGCTGGGCATTACAGATATACAAAAATTCCCCAGTATGACCATAAATGGCTAGACTGGCCTTGTGTTCTTGTATGGCTGCAAGTACAGTTGACAGTGACTGCACTCCATTTCATTATAATATACTGTAACAAAGCCAAATACACTTCTAAAACACAAGATTGATTGTATCTACAGTACAATTAAAGAAAACGGACCATTTTTCAGAAAAATTCTCTATAGCAGCATTCGACAAATGAATGAAAGTGTCCATATACTTACGACAGACTTTGCATTCTACGGGGAGCTCAGAATACTTTGCTTTGCACTGTGGGCAGAAGTAGCCTCCTAATGTCAGGCCAGGCTCATTATTGTTATCCAGGTGCCTTAAACAGAAAAGCAACAGGAACTGTTGAACATATTGAACATTTATACACATTCCTATTCCCAATATAAGCAGCTAATACTACATCAATGCTCTTCAATGAAAACCAACATGTCTATAATGATCTACTGAACTCAAACAAATCAATGAGATGGTGCAGCAAGTAAAGGAGATTATCTCTGAACTGGAGTATTTCATGCACAAAACAAAAGTTCATTACCATTATTTACAAGCCAACTATCCCAGGTTTATGAACTCAAGGAATCGCATTAATAAAATGTATTAAAAAGTGAAAATTAGTATGTGAATGTTGCTTTCAAGGAGTGTACTCAATTTTCACTTTTTTTCCCAATGAGCAAACTTCTGAATATTTTTTTTACTGGATATGCTCCATGAATATGGGAATCCTATTTGTGATATCATCCAGGAAGCTGGATCCAAGTGGTCACTTTGCATGATGCAAGGTGTCAACTCAGCAGTGAATTCACTGTAGGAAAGGGGAGCTTACTGGCAGGATCACCAAGAATTTAACTATGTTAATCTGCATTTAAATATGTTTTCTTTAGTCCAGTATACCTTTTTTTTTTTTTCAAACAATATTTGCAATGTATTTTTTTACATTTTGTTCGTAGTTGTAACTGAATATTTCTTTGTACAGCTGGAGTCGTCGGTGCATAAACTCATGGATTAATCACTATATTGCTGAAAGTGTGCCCTATTTACAGGGTATTGGATACATACGCCATACTAAAAGAAGGCTTTGCATCTTGATCAGACAGGGAACCCACGGTATGCTGAGGGAAACCTATAGTGAAGACAACACACATAATCAGAAACTGCAGAAATATTGTGGTTCCCTTTCTTTCTCCACTAACTAAATCTGAAGTCTCAACATTGTCTTCTTGCAGCTTATTCATCAAACATTTTTCATTTTCTCATTAATACCTTATTTACCTTTCCTGTTTCCTATTTTTTTTTTTTTTATTTATTTCAGGTATTTGTATAGCGCCATCAATTTATACAACGCTTTTACATATATATTGTACTTTCACATCAGTCCCTAACCCTCAAGGGGCGTACAATCTAAGGTCCCTAACTCACATTCATACATACACATACTAGAGCCAATTTAGACAGGATCCAATTCACCTACCAGCATGTCTTTGGAGTGTCTATTTTAAGTGTCTTAATTTTGCTACGTTGTTTTGAACTTTGCTACTAATTAAACAAATATTGCTGTTAATCTGGGGTTCTAGGGACACCAATCACTGAACTTTGTGAATGTGTAGGTCAGGTATTTTCAGTTCTGCTACTCTAGTCTGCTTGCTGAATCTCACACAGAATCATTCAATCATGCAAGTGCTCTGGCACTTCCTGAAACAGGCAGTGTAAACATCGGGCCCTGTCATCAAGTACCACGCATGTGAGAGATTGCGCCAGAAAAGGCAAAATATACTCAGCACTGGAAAAGTATACCCGTAGCTGACATGACGCAGGCTGCAGCCGGGAGACAGATAATGAAAGAAAAGAAAGTTAAAACCACGTCCATTAAAACCGACGTGAATAAGAGAATTGACATGGCAGTGTGCTTTGTAATATTTGCATATATTAATTTAATGATGAATGTGGATTCTCCGGGCTGAGTTTACTTCCACTTTAAGGCTAGGTTCACACCCAATTTTGATCTGACTTTCAGTACGATTATTCGGTGCAACTTGGATGTGGTTTGCATATTTTTATGGGACCAAAATCGCACTGGAATCACACAAAAGTAGTACAGTAACCTTTTCCAAAATCACACTGTGCTGAGTTGCATTGATGTGAATGTGCACCATTGAAAACAATGTGATTTCCATTGTCATGCAATGCAACATCCAAAATCGTGCTAGAGCCTGATAAACATTTAAAAAAAAAAAAAAGGGAGTACTATTAAAAGCTGAAGTTTAATTTGCTTATATTTCCCTTTCCTGGTCCCCTCTCCACCCCAAAACCCACCCCTTCATCTCACCAGTATCAGCATGCTAAAGAGATTTTTTTAATAAAACCTTTCCATGTTCATTTATATTTTCTTGAGCTGGCTATACATGGCTCAGTCTTTTTCACTCAGTCAGCGGGCTGAGTAAAAAAACGGAACAGATTCCCCCATCCACACAATCAGGGTGGATGGGGGAATCCTCCCTGCTGTGTCATTTTACTCTGACAGTGGAGGAATCTGCTGGATTCAAAGTTGCCAGCCTACTTTTTTTTACTGACAGAACATGGAACATTTACTATACAGAGCACAATATTTTACTGACAACCTGACAAAAATGACAGAACTCCTATCAGAAACTAAAAACAATCAATATTTAAACAGTATAAACCAAACTGTAAACATTGACAATACCCATAACAGGTAATTAGCCTTGTTTACATATAAAATGTTAACACAGCATGACAAATTATCAGCCACCCTGCTGGGATACAGTTTAAAAATAAGTTCTGGTATGAAACAAATGGGGGACATGTGCTCAACAAGGTGGAGTCTAATATAGTAGGAGTGGCCTAAAAGAGGATTATTAACCACTTGCCTACTGGCCACTTTTACCCCCTTCCTGCCCAGGCCAATTTTCAGCTTTCACAACTGTTGCACTTTGAACGACAATTGCGCAGTCATGCAACACTGCACCCAAATAAAATTTGTATCTTTTTTTTTTAGATAGATAGAGCTTTCTTTTGGTGGCATTTAATCACCACTGTGTTTTTTATTTTTTTGCTAAGCAAACTAAGAATACTAAAAATGTTGAAAAAAAAAAAGTGTTCTCTTAGTTTCTGTTATAAAATTTTGTAAATAAGTAATTTTTTTCCTTCACTGATGTTGCGCTAACGAGGCTGCAGTGATGGGTGCTGATAGACACTGATAGGCGGCACTGATGAGGAGGCACTTGTAAGTGGCACTGATTAGGAGGCACAGGTAGGCATCACTGATGGGCACTGAAAGGCATCACTCATATATGGTACTGATAGGAACTGATAGGCAGCACTGATAGTTGGCACTGAAAGGCAGCTCTGATGGGCACCGATATGTGGCATTGATGTGCAGTGGTGGCACTGATATGTGCATTGATGAGGCTACACTGATCATCAGTGCCCTGCTGACGGGCGCTGTCAGCATGAGGAGGACTGCCAATAACCGACATTTCCTTGTTTACATGCAATCAGCTGTGATAGGACACTGCTGATCACATGACAGAGCCTGTGTCATCAGCTCTTCACTGTGATCAATGATCCGCTGTGTCCCAGGGACACAGCGCACCACCGATCAGCACGCATCTGCAGTTAGAGTGGGAGGACGTCATATGAACGAGAGAACCCCTGCCCGTCCATCATTTCCTTATATGGCGGGCGGGAGGCGGTTAAAGAGAACCGCTTCCTGACCACCTACCTCTAAATGAACATAGTAGCTGCTTGGGTGAGAACATATTGCCATGGCCTTGATGCTTAGCTTCATATAGTGTGGCAACTCAACATGTCAAATGTTTGGCTTGCGGTTTTGACACAGTGGGAGGGTGCGTTAAGTACAGAGTGTGCGAACAGTGCAGAGTTCAGGGGTGCGCTGCATACAGGGTACAGGGTTCAGGGGTGAGCTGCATTCAGGATGCAGGGTTCAGAGGTGCGCTGCATACAGGGTGCAGGGTTCAGAGGTGCGCTGCATACAGGGTTCAGAGGTGCGGTGCATACAGGGTGCAGGGGTGTGCCGCATACAGAGCACAGACTACAGGGGTGCCCCCTTTTCTCCCAAATCGCCCCCTCCCCCAGTACAGTGCTCTATTCCCACTCCCAAATCCCCATCCTTGACAGTCCCTGATAGAGAACTACGGCTGCAGAACAGCAAGATACAGTGGATATAAAGGTCAGGTTTCTGTGATGTAAAAAAATTAGACAAAGAAATTATTTCAGAACTTTTTCCGCTTTTATTGTGACCTATAAACTGTACAACTTGATTGAAAAACAAACTGAAATCTTTTAGGGGGGAAGTAAACCTAAAAAACTAAAATAATGTGGTTGCATAAGTGTGCACACCCTCTTACAACTGGGGATGTAGCTGTGTTCAGAATTAAGAAATCACATTAAAAATCATATTAAATAGGAATCAGTACACACCTGTCATCATTTAAGGTGCCTCTGATTAACCCCAAATAAAGTTCAGCTGTTCTAGTAGGTCTTTCCTGACATTTTCTTAGTCGCATCCTACAGCAAAAGCCATGGTCCTCAGAGAGCTTCCAAAACATCAGAGGGATCGCACTGTTAAAAGGTATCAGTCAGGAGAAGAGTACAAAAGAATTTCCAAGGCATTAGATACACCATGGAACACAGATGAAACTAAAGTTGAACTTTTTGGCCATAATTCCAAAAGATATGTTTGGTGCAAAAACAACACTGCACATCACCAAAAGAACACCATGCCCACAGTGAAGCAGTGTGCAAGAATGTTCCACCTCTGAAGAAGTGCGTGCGCACGAAACGCGTCAGGTGGGACCCAGGACGCCGTTGACACCAAGCCGCCGGTGCCACGAGGAGGCCCGGCGGCCATTTTGACATCTAATAGGGTCAGTGTGTTTGCCCATACTTGGCTATTCTACTGTATTCTGCACCTGTGCTGTTTTCAAATAAAGTTTTAATTACTACACTATGAGTGCTCCCCTGTGTCTCCTGTGAGGAGCTTCTTCCATCCTTGTAGCCCTGGGATTCCTGTGCCAGTTCCTTTGGAGGCTCACCTAGATCGTTATTGCTCTGACCTGCTGGATCACTTTCCACCACATGAGGGCGTAGGATCTCCATTCTTCCAAGCCGTATATCTGACCAGACTCAAGTGGAGAAAGGATCTTCAGGATATATACACATATGCGCATTACCTATGCGCGTTCTGGTTAGTGCAAAAGTCTACCATTTACACTGGGAAACAAGGAGCACTGTTTTTTCATTGGACTGTGTTTATTATTATCATTTTTCTCAAGAGCGCTGCATTTCTTTTGTTTATGTATTTTGGGACTTTTATGTGTTTTCCTATATGTTCAGCTGCTTGCATTGTTTATGAGCGCTTACTATATACCATTATTCCCAGTTCCAAATACCAGTCAATATTGGCACAAAACATTCAGGTTTCTGCTAGAAAGCTGAACATGAAAAGGAACTTCATCTTTCAGCATGACAACGACCCAAAGCATACATCCAAATCAACAAAGGAATGGCTTCACCACAAGAAGATTAAAGTTTTGGAATGGCCCAGCCAGAGCCCAGACCTGAATCCAATTGAAAATCTGTGGGGTGATCTGAAGAGGGCTGTGCCCAGGAGATGCCCTCGCAATCAGACAGATTTGGAGTGTTTTTGCAAGGAAAAGTCAAGATGTGTCATGCTGACAGACTCATACCCAAAAAGATTGAGTGCTGGAATAAAATCAAAAGGTGCTTCAACAAATTTATTAAAGATGTGTACACCTATGCAAGCATATTATTTTAGTTTTTTATTTCCCTCCGCCTAAAAGATTTCAGTTTGTTGTTTAACTGAGATATACAGCATTAAAAGGTGGAAAAACTTCTGAAATGATTTATCTTTATCTCATTTTTTTATATCACAGAAACCTGACATTTTAACAGGGGTGTGTAGACTTTTGATATCCACTGTAAGTTACTCAGGAGGACACTGTGGTGTAGCTTCTAGCATGTGGGGTCATGGGTAACAGGCTTCAGGAGCTGTTGCCGCCATACAAGCTACCTATCTATGCAGAGAGGCAGTAGGGAGCACAGTTGAGATCACTTTGCAGCCTGAACTAGAGGAGCAGGAACAGCAAATGAGGCTGCCTGCTCCTGTTTAAAAATAATCCCCACTGGCTCCAAACTCTGTCTGGATAAGTGGCTGTCGATGGTGCATCAAGCTGTCAAGGGGTTCATTCTTACACTTGCCGAGCCAATACTAACCTGCCTGAAAAAAGGATCAATCTTTACAGACATAAAATTTCTCTTAGTGACAGCTGGACAACTGTCACTAAATTTACTAATACCTACTGGTTGCAGCGCTGATAAAAATAAAGTCTTCCAGCAAGCCCATTCATGAGTAGTTGATTAATTATTGACTGCTCTCGAACAGGACTGGCCATAGATCGAAATTCAGCCAGACCAGTACATCTAAACACTCCCCTCCCTCCAGACTGACAATGCTGCAATCCAAAGATGCCCCTGTGCTCTCTCATCCAGAGTGGAGGCACTCTAATACAGGAAGTCAGTTACTGGCCAGATCACCAGGTGAAAACAGAGGGTAAAAAAAGAAAAATAATGCAGCCACCACATCTAATGATTGGTAAGCTGCAACATATTACAATTTAGGTTTTGGGATTAATAGCATCTTAATGGTTTATCTGGGAAGAATGCAGCCATGAGTGGTATGAATACCATATGATATGGCACTGTGCTTTACTATCATAGACAGAAACCAGAGGAAACTATTGTCTTCTCTGCTTGGAAATAATAATAAAATAATCAAAAGGAATTAAAGGTCCCTTACCCATTCGTATCAGAGAGCATTCAGAACTGTTATTTGCTGGAGGTGGGCTGACATGGTGCATCAGGAGCTCTTTGTAGTGACTCTCATCCAGGATGATATGATAAGCACCTAACAAAAAAACATCCACGTATATAGTAAAACAGATTCAAACCTAAACACCAATCAGCAGAAAGTACCAGTAAACTTGTATAAACACAGAACAGATTACAAGTTAACTCAGCATTTATTATTTGTCATCTGTAGCAGTACATGTTCTTAACCACTTGCCTACCGGACACTTTTACCCCCTTCCTGCCCAGGTCAATTTTCAGCTTTCAGTGCTCTCGCATTTTGATTGACAATGGCGCGATCATGCAACGCTGTATCCAATCTAAAGTTTTGTCATTTTGTTCACACAACTAGAGCTTTCTTTTGCAAATAAATAATTGTTCTTCATAAAAATTTAGGCCAAAATGTATTCTGCTACATTTCTTTGACGAAAATAACCCAAATCAGTATTCAATATTTAGTCTGTAAGAAAGTTATAGAGTCCACAAACTATGGTGTAGAAAATTGATCAATCCTAAAGTATTGACGTTCAATCTAATTTGTTGAGGCCCCAAAAATGTTAGGAAAGTACAGATATCCCCTAAATGACCCCTTTTTGCAAAGTAGACAGTCCAAGGTATTTAGTAAGAAGCATGGTGAATTTTTTTAAGTTGTAATTTGTCATAATGTTTTTTTTCACAACTCTTTCTTTTTTTTTTTTTTTACATACCGTCACCAGTGCAGTACAGCGTCACCATATAACTGGTGTGGCTGTGACCAGGGACACTGACTGGTGGCAGTGCAAATAATAAAAAAAAAATATGTTTCATTTTTGTTTTATTATTATTTTTTATTACTTTTGTCAAGTAGGGGAGTCCACAAACTGATTTCTGGTGAATGCATATGTGGCTTATCCACTGAACACGAAGGTGTGGTGTAAAGATGGCGATTTAGAAGGCTATTTCCAAAATCCAAACACAACAATACACAACACTTGAATATTTTAATTGCACATTAGTGGTGTGTTTTAATAAGCACTTATTTTGTGAATAATTCTGTTGAATGCTGCGCCCATCTCACATTTAGACTGGGTTCACATATGTGCGGGTCTGGTTTCAATGTGATTTTTCCCGCGTGGTTTCATTCACTGGTTCAAGTGCAAATTTTTTAAGTGTTTGACACTTGAAATTGCACCTAAACCAAACTGAAAATTGTACCAGGCTCTTTTTAAAAAACGCACTGCGGCCAGCCTGCACATATGTGAACTGGCTCCATAGAAAGCTGGTTTGGTTCACACGTCATGCGAATCAGATTCGGTTTAAAACGCATCCAATTCGCATATATGTGAACGGGGGCTTTTGGTGTTGAAAATCCATTGAAGCAAAATCAGGTTGAAAATGGCTTGTGACTTTCTCTAAATCAAATAAATGTCCTGGGAAAACGAAGTTCATTTGTCTGCATTTCTTAGAAATTATACAACTGTAAACTGAAGCAAGATTCCAATACAATTTTCAGAAAATATACTAAGAGTAAGAAGTGAAGTATAAAAGTGAAGTATAAAAGTAAATACAAAATGTCTGGCATATTCAGCCCTATGCACACAGATGTCTAGAAGCTGCAAAATCATGTAGTATCAAATGCTGAGTGTTTTCCCACAGCCGGCGAGTTACAGGTGCCATGTACAGCTGCCCATACAAGTAAATGTCTGTACGCAGTTGTACTTGTGTAAACACCAATGGCTTGTGCACATTCATATTAATATGCCGTACAAGCCAGGGTAGACAGCAATGCACAAGCCATCAGCAATTACAGGAACACAGCCATTACTTGTATAGGCAGCAGCACATGGCACCTGCAATTCCCCAGGCATGAGAAATCACTGAGCATTTCACAGTTTCTAGACAACTGTGTGCATAGGCCCAAACATGTAAGATATTTTGTATTCATTTCATAATACATTGCTTAGTGTAAGTACATTTTCTGAAGATCTTATTAGAATTTTAACTATTCTTCAGTTTATAGCGGTAACGCTGTGTCATTTCTAAGCACTGCAAAAAAAAATGATTCGATTGCTACGGCTCCATTGGCATGGGAAAGCGCAGGGAAGTTTGTAGCCTCCATGCCTTCAACTGACATAAGTAAAGCACAACTGTAAATGACATTGTTGAAGGATAATTATTGTGCAACATATAAGCTATTAACATATATCTCACCACCAGTTTCCCGAGTGAGCACAGTGCAGACCCGAACCTCAGCCGAGAGACCTATGACAGACACCCGGATTTTGCTGGACTTCAGGCACTGACAGAAATATACCAAAATTAGAAAAAAACTGAGCTCATTGCTTTACCTAAAAATCAGAAAAAAAAATAAAAAGAACTCTCACAATCCTTGTGTTTGAGCCTTCAAAATACAGTGCTAAAATAGACAAAAATTAATATTCACCATATCCAATGAATATATCAAAGAAAACGGTCACAATATATGTAATTTAGTAGGTGACACCACTATTTCAAAAGTGCCACAAATATATCATAAATGTATAAAATAGACTATAAACTATAAATTTCACTGATAGTCAATTATTTGAATCTGTGAATAAAGTCCACCACCTCGACTTAAATGTCCAAATAATTCAATTAATATATGTGGGAGGGTCACACCACCATTGCAAATGTTGCCAATTTTGTCCTTGGTTTTAAAAAGTGACTACCACTGTGATTCACACCACCACCACCACGAGCAGTCTCTTACCAGATGGATAGACCCCAAATTATAGGTGTTTTACAGCAGCAGCAATAATCCATTCACAGCTCAGAAACACAAGGACAAATCGCAGCAGTTAGATGTTCAAAGGCACTTAGGAACGGCCAGGCACACCAAAACAAACACACGGTTTGCACCTCCACTCCTCTATGTGTGTTATATACCCATGTAAAAGATAAGCAAGCATTCCATAGTGCAACATGCATATTTACAGTCAGGTCCATAAATATTGGGACATCGACACAATTCTAACATTTTTGGCTCTATACACCACCACAATGGATTTGAAATGAAACGAACAAGATGTACTTTAACTGCAGACTGTCAGCTTTAATTTGAGGGTATTTACATCCAAATCAGGTGAATGGTGTAGGAAATACAACAGTTTGCATATGTACCTCCCACTTGTTAAGGGACCAAAAGTCGACAGTCTGCAGTTAAAGCACATCTTGTTTGTTTCATTTCAAATCCATTGTGGTGGTGTATAGAGCCAAAAATGTTAGAATTGTGTCGATATCCCAATATTTATGGATCTAACTATATTTGTATAAAAGTGTACCAATAAATAAATAATTTGCGCTAGTAAATGTGTATAAATATATAAATATATATAAAGAAATCATCAAATCATAAGTCCAGAAAAAAATATATGTATGCCAATACCACAAAAAAAAAAAAAAAAAAAATATAAAAAAACTTTTAAGTGCAAAAAAACTTTTGTGCAAAAAAAGTGTCTGAATATGAAAAATTTCACCGCTCCGTGAGGACGTCGATGACGAAATGCGTAGGGCGGGGCTTGATTGATGTGACATCATTACGTTTTTGGCTGCTAGCTACTGCGCATGTGCTGAGTAGCCAGGCTCGTTTATGTGATTGCTGGTATGCTGTTGATGCTGGTGTCGGCTGGGACACCTCTTGAGTAAGTGCAATGAGTACCTAATAAAGGAATTGGTTTTTATAATATTGCACCATGAAGTCTTTCTGTTTCTCTCGAGTGCTTGGCATTTCCCCCCATGGATACGTTTGAAGGTGGTCCTTTACCTATTGGAGAAGTGGATTTTCGATTAACTACAAAGTTTTTCATCCTGTTATTTCGATCGATGAGGATCGGTGTGCTGCAGAGTTTCCGTTTCTGAAGATATATTTATGGATGATCTGCCATTATATTATCAAGGTTTTTTGGTGAAATTTTTCATATTCAGACACTTTTTTTGCACAAAAGTTTTTTGCACTTAAAAGTTTTTTTATATTTTTTTTTTGTGGTATTGGCATATATATATTTTTTTCTGGACTTATGATTTGATGATTTCTTTATATATATTTATATATTTATACACATTTACTAGCGCAAATTATTTATTTATTGGTACACTTTATATATGGTGATTTTTTGCAGCTGGTACATTATTAGTAAGTTATATAATTTTGACCATAGGCACTATTATTAATTTTTCTTATTTGTATAAAAGTGTTGTACATCTATTCCCATTGATCAGAAGAAATATACTGCATATATATACAAAACCACTGCCATCTCCAGCAGGTGTGATGGCGTCAACACAAGCTACAACCCAACGCATTTCAACCATTAGGCCATTTTCAAGGGGATGGATGGATGTGATGACACTTCCCTTAAATACAAAGCAAATCTGCAAGTTCCACCCCTCAATGTAGACTGCACAACAGGAATCTAATTTTCCTAAATGAATTTAAATAAATAAATATTAAAATATTAAAATTTACTTTTATATAATATATGATGTTTTTATTTATTTAAATTGATTTGGGAATATTAGATTCCTGTTGTGAAGTCTACATTGAGAAGCAGCACTCACAAATAAACATACAGGTTCCACTATGGAATGCTTACTTACCCTTAACATGGGCATAACACACATGGCGGCGTGGCGGTGCAAACAGTAAGTTTGTGCTGGTGTGCCAGGCAGTTCCTAAGTGCCTTTGAACATCTAACTGCTGTGATTTTTCCTTGTGGTTTCCGAGCTATGGATGCATGATTGCTGCTAAAACAAGCTGTTGTAGACCACTTGTTTTTGGGGTCTAGCCATCTGGTAAGAAGCTGCTCATGTTGGTGGTGTGATTGACAGCAGTGGTCATTTTTAAACCGATGTAAAAAAAATAGCAACATTTGCAATGGTGGTGGGACCTTCTCATACATATTAATTGAATTATTTGAACATTTAAATTGAGGTGGTGGACTTTGATCACAGATTCAGATTATTGACTATCAGTGAAATTTATAGTTTTGTTTTATATACTAATGATATATTTATGGCACTTTTGAAATAGCAGTATCACCTACTAAGTTACATATATTATGACAGTTTCTATGAAATATTCATTGGATATGGTGAATATTCATTTTTGTTTATTTTAACACTATATTTTGAAGGCTCAAACACAAGGATTGTTTGATGAAAATTTAAAAGGCACAGAGCAACATTTGGGTTTATATAGACAGAATTATGAAAACAAAAAAATGTAAAATGAGATAGCAACAACTGCTGAAACAATATTAATGTTCAATATAAAGTTGCCCACAACCAGATGCTGACCAAACGGCTGTCACCCTAACTCCTTCTCCAGCAAAGGAATAAACCCAAAAGTTTAGATGAGCCAAGCTTTAATATCTATGTGCACTGTGACAATGGTGAAAGAGACGGTGGTGAAAGGTAAGACTGTTCCAGCATGTCCACTCATCCTCAAGTACAGTCTACCTCAACCGTTTAACTCCAGAGGAACCATTTAACTAATTTTCAGGTCTTCGAGAACCCTTAGTAAAATAAATTCATTTGGAAGTCAGTGGGAAAATGCCTCGTACATTAGCAGTCAGTCGAAAGAATACTGACTTTACAGTGGTGGTCAATGGAAAGAATGATGTCTTTACAGTGGTGGTCAGTGGAAAGAATGCTGTCCTTTACAGTGGTGGTCAGTGGAAGAATGCTGTCCTGTACAGTAGTGGTCAGAATGCCACCTTACAAACTGCTAAAAAAGATCATTAGTGTCATGCAGCTGGCTTTGCCAAGTGGCATTGACCCTAGAACTACAAAGACTGATCAGATGGGAGGTCAGTCAGCCATAGCTCAAGGAACCCCTAGGAACCTCTGGAGAAACCCTTAGGGTTCAATGGAACCATGGCTGAGAATGGCTGCTCTAGCATCTAAGATGCAACTTAAAGAAAAATGAACGCCTTTCTAAAGTGTATCAAAAAGAATAAAATAATATACTGCGGCTTACCAGACTTTCATTTATTTTCACCTGGTAATCCTGCAAATAACATACTACTTGTCCCTGGGTGGCTATGCACACTCACTGTTTTGTATCAATGAAGGTAGCCATCCATAGGCTACAAATACTGCATGCCTTCGTTGTTTATCTCCATTACATGAAGGGAGGGATGATGAGATTAGGAGCTTATGGGAAGAAAATAACATTCATATTGCTTTCAGTACACCTTGCATAAAGTGACCAACTTTAAAAAGAAGTCCTTCTACAGAATTGGTCCGTATTAAACAAAAACTGATGGTTCTAATCTCTAAACAGTCTTCCATGGAACAGTCATGCTGCAAAAATCAGCATTCCTTCAAGCACATGTAGCCAATGGCTGCAAGCACTGATCTGTGTATTCTATGCGGGGTGAGAGTACCCCCTGTCATAGTAAAATAGAACAGTATGGGAGATCCCTGCATCAACACAAGCGATGGATGATCAAAAAAAAGAAAAAATGTACATGTATACCCTGCTTTACTTAGGATTTTAAAATGGCACAAGAGGAAAAGCAAGAACTAACTCGTGTCTATGAGTATTAGAGACATGGTTCTGCTATAACATAAGAGATTAGCATGTAGCCTAAAGCTCAGCATTGTAAAGAATTATGATAGTACAGAATATTTAATAAATTTCTATTGAAGAAACAATTTATAAAAGTCTAGGGGTGTGGAGATATCTATCCACACCGTGTAAAGTACATTAGCACTAGAAATGCATGCCCTGCCACAGAAGCAGACACACAGTGACAAGTCACAAACTACCATTCTATGCTGTGCACCACGTCCAAGTTATCTAAAAATCCCTGTTCCACCTGTGTGCACCCCTAAAGTGTGTCTTGGTGATACAGCTGTTAATATAAGGCAGCGGTCTGCAAACTCTCTGAACAAAAAGCCAGTTTAAGATCCTTCAGATTGTAGGAGGGCAAACACTGTGGTCAGTAGGACTAATAGCCCAGCATCAGTGGGAGTAAACAATGACATGCGTTGCCCTTCCATGTGCACCTTACTGCAAAGGCTAGTTTTAGTTTGCAGTGGTTGCCACTTTTTTGTAAAGTTGCTTGAATTGGGCGTGGGAACACACTGGATACCTTCAGATGCCATTGTGCTTTTGCTGGGCATCACGCGTGTCCCTGTGTATTTAAGGAGAGGTGGACTCCCTCCAGGCACACCTGCCCTTAATATATCCACTGCTATATGTGTTTATATTTGGGAGACTGTGAAATGTATAGTGTTAGGACAGCAGTATACAGAGGAGCCTTGATGTGGGCACTGTAGCTTACACATATACTTGCAAACGTGTGCAAACAAAACCTCTGCTTTTAATGTGAAATGTTAGACTGGGTCAGTTTGCTTGTTTTGCAAGCTAGCTGGTAAGTGAGCTGGGAAAATATTTGTTTGTTATAGATGGGATTAAACAAAGGCTTGGTGGTGAGTGGGAGCAAAAAAAATACATACAAGCTGCAGTCAGTTGGAGGCATAGTGCCCCATCATTGGTATTAGTGGGAGATATTATGCCCCATGGTTAGTGACACCAGAAGGAATGGTGACTCATTGTTGGTGTCAGTGGAAGGAACAGTGCCACAAGGCCCGGATAAAGACAAGCAACTGTAGGTAACAAGCTGCATTTTGTAGACCATTGACAAAAAGCATGCTGTATAAATGCAGCAAAACAGGACTAAGGCGGGAGAAGCAGGGTTTATTCCATTTACACCGTGATGAAGTGGAGAGGTGTGGAAAATGTAGCATGTCTATATTTTTCCAAACACCGGAGCTCACCTGTATTCTCTGTTAATCACCGCATGTCAGTTGTGGTGGACATGAATGAAATTCCACTTTGTGATATTCCAATCAGGTAAAAAAAAAAAATCTGTCTTGGGTTGCAAATATGATGCAAGGCACGCCTATAGAACGGATGGATCGTTTTAGTGTGCGGGTTGGTATGAAGAAGTCATTAGTTTTTAAACACAGACTAATACTCAAGAGTCACTCACTGTAGCTCAGGTCAGGTGACAGTATGATTTGACCTTCTGTCTATAGACAGACCTAGACATGCCCCAGTAGACAACCAAGCAGTATGGAGACAAGACACTGACTCCAAATTTAGTTGCAACTCACCTTTGTCACCATCAGAGCTGCTATCTGCCTGCTAAAAATATCTTCTGGTATTCTAGTCACCACTGTCAGGAGACACTCCCACTGTGCCTGAGCAACTTAGGAACCAGAAGCTGTGGCACCCAGTAAGCAGCATCACCCTACCCAGAAATGGACTTAGCCTGGCATATCCCCAGGGAAAGAATGCCCATTCTCTGCCCCATCTCCCCTGAGAGAAGGGATCAAAACAAAGCTAGGCAAGTTCACCAAGGGGAAAAGTCACCTCAAAGTAGAGGCCTTCTTCAGGCACTGAAACAGGGAATGGGTGCAAACCTCTTCCTGCTTATAAAGAGGAAGGGACTGGGAAGCAAAGATGAACGAGACAAACCCCTCGTCCTTCACATCAAAGATGGTGGGGAAAAAGCATCGGTGGTGGACTGCAAATGAGAGCCCTGGCCTGAACATTCTTCCACCAGGTCCCAAGCCATGCATCTCCCTGTAGGAAACACAAAAACTAGCTAGTTTTGTAGAAGAACTTCCTCTGAACATTTTTAGTGATGTGTTTCCCATTTTCAGGTGAAGGTGGCGATGATTTCTCATACGCTGAGAAGACAATTTGGGAAAATATTATTAGCCCAAAACACAAAAAACCTACTGCAGCCACCAAATCCATGAACAGTTAAACTGCGATATATTCATTTTTTGTTCTTGGGATTAGTTATCTTTTAGGTTTAAAAGTACATGAAAAACCCAATCAATGAAATCTCATATTTATCCCAACTTTAACAGGTAATGAATGTTCAAAGTGTATTTTTAAATCTGCATTTTCATTAATGACCTTGAACAAGTGTCTGTCCTTGTTCAGACACTTTCTTTAATAGTTTGATATGGCTCTGTCCCTTCCCATTTGCGCTCTTGAGATGGAGTCTGGAAAAGGCTGTTTCAGCACACGTTGTGCACCCATGTTCCACCGTTGTCACCATTAGGATATTTGCTCTAAAAATGTCATGCATCCATTGCTGGAGAGAAATGCCTGTACACAGGAGGGAACCACAAAGAGGCTGCAAGAGATCAGTAGCACTTGCACACAACAGAGGAGGAAAAATAGTGAAAACAAGTATTTTTGCTGAAAAAAGAAACTATTTATGCTATACAGTGCTCTACATCCCTCTAAAGATTCCATGCCTCGATGAAAGTGGCATTGTATTTATTATTATTTATGATATTTGTAATGATCTCTGTGCATCAGTCATCCCTGCAATTATATAAGTAACTTATGCTAGCAGAATCCCCGTAAAAGACAAGACCACTAGTGGGAGCATTTACAAATCTGTACAGAAAATACAAATCAAAATATGGAACAGTAAGCAATCAAAATTGTAATATTTATATATAAAATGACTGGCCTCATGTTACAATAAACCAAAATGCAAAATACAGTAAAAAGTTTCTTTAAATGGTCAGTCCACCGAAAGAGCTATTTCAGTTTATATCATGATGAATGCAACAACCAAAATAACAAGGTGGACAGGTATAGACTCACCCTACAAGTGGCTATATAGCTAGAAATCACTTTAGATTATTACCAACATAAAGGTGCACTTCATCAAAACACTGTGCAACTTAACAGATAACAAGGAATTTGTATCTCTTATAACAGAATTTAGAAAAGACATCAAATTACCTTTATCATATCATAAATATTGGATGGATCACATGTTGTCAAGCTGCTAAAAATCACCAGGATCTCACGGCTGGTATGGCCAGGCATGTGTCTGCATGCATAAAAAAAAAAAAATTACAGAATGAAAAAAAAAAAAAAAAAAGTATACACCCACACATTATATTGACCAAAGTTTTGGGACACCCCTCCAAAATCATTGGATTCAGATGTTCCAATCTACTCCATGGCCACAGGTGTATAAAAGCAAGCACCTAGGCATGTAGACTGCTTCTACAAAAATTTGTGTAAGAATGGGTCGCTCTCAGGAGCTCAGTGAATTCAAGCATGGTACCATGATAGGTTGCCACCTGTGCAAAAAGTCCATCAGTGAAATTTCCTTGCTACTAAATATCTCACAGTCAACTGGTAGTGGTATTATAACAAAGTGGAAGCAACTGGGAACAACAGCAACTCAGCCACGTGGTAGGCCACGTAAAATGACAGAGTGGGGTCAGCGTATACTGAAGTGCACACTGTGCAGAAGTTGCCAATTGTCAATACCTAAAGACCTCCAAAACTTCGCATGACCTTCAGATTAGCACAACAGTGTATAGAGAGCTTCATGGAATGGGTTTCCATGGCCGAGTAGCTGCATTCAAGTTTAACATCAGCTAATGCAATGCAAAGATTCGGATGCAGTGGTGTAAAGCACGCCACCACTGGACTCTAGAGCAGTGGAGACGTGTTCTCTGGAGTGACGATTTCCGTTTCTCTGCCTGGCAGTCTGATGGACCTGTCTGGGTTGCGGTTGCCAGGAGAACAGTACTTGCCTGACTGCATTGTGCCAAGTGTAAAGTTTGGTGGAGGGGGGATAATGGTGTGGGGTTGTTTTCAGGGGTTGGGCTTGGCCCCTTAGTGCCAGTGAAGGGAAGTCTTAAGGCGCCAGCATAACAAGACATTTTGGAAAAGTTCATGCTCCCAACTTTGTGGGAACAGTTTGGGAATGGCCCCTTCATGTTCCAATATGACTGCACACCAGTGCAAAAAGCAAGGTCCATAAAGACATGGATGAGTTAGTTTGGGGTGGAGGAACTTGACTGGCCTTCAGAGTCCTGACCTCAACCCGATAGAACACCTTTAGGATGAATTAGAGTGGAGACTGTGATCCAGGCCTTCTCGTCTGACATCAGTGCCTGACCTCACAAATGTGCTTCTGGAAGAATGGTCAAACATTCCCATAGACACACTCCTAAATCTTGTGGACAGCCTTCCCAGAAGAGTTGAAGCTGTAGCTGCAAAGGGTGGGCCAACTCAATATTGAACCCTACGGACTAAGACTAGGATGCTCTTAAAGTTCATGTGTGTGCGTAAAGGGGTGTGTGTTTGTGCGCGTGTGTAAATAAATATAGTAAATGTTACTGTTTATTGTCACCTAGATGCATTTGACTTTCTATTGCAAAAATGGAATCACTTTTTGATGTGGCCTTAGTTTGCTTGCTGTTCCGTGATGTATAATGGTCATGTGTGTAAACATCCTATTTAATAATTTATTTTTTTTTAATGGTTATTTGTGCATAGAATTTTTTTTCCCCATAATTTCATGATGGTCATGTATGCATAGGTTCTAACCTATGATTTATAATGGTCATGTGTGTAGGTCCTATTTGCTAATTTTATGATAGTCATTTGTGTATAGAATCTATTCCATGATTTTATGATAATGTGTAGATTTGTACTTTCTCCCTCTACTGGGTACATGTGTGTCCAACAGATTCAACAAGGAAATGGAGTACTGTTCATGATACTTTATTTGCACTTACAGTTCCATTTTCAGGACAAGCCTTTAGGGGTCTACCTCCCCCTTTTTCTTGGCCTAAGCAGTACGGATACGCAGTGTATTAATACTGCTTGGACTGAGAGGAAGGAGGTGGTAGACACCTAAAAGCTTGTCTTGAAAATGAATCTGTTAGTGCAAATAAAAAAACATCATGGAAAAACTCAACTGCATGTTAATACACAGTGTATCAATAATGCTTCCACTGAGGAGGGGATGGTAGACCTCCAAAAACCTGTCCTGAAAATGTATCTTATGTGCAAAAAAAAACAAAAAACTGTGTTGTTGAAAGTGCACTAATATGGCTACGATCAACTTAAGAGCTTGTTCACACGTGTGTTGATTATGAGGAATGAAGCAATGCTCATATAACAACATGCCTATAGCGTTTATCATGTGTTTTCATTGTGTTTATGAAGCGCTGAAAAAGCTTGAAATGCTTGATAAATGCCAATGTAAGTGTTGCTTTTCTATAAGGAAGTGCTTAGGGGGGGAGTGATGTAGAGGAAATTATCTACTTTGAGGCGTAGGTAGGTTGTGGTGTTATATCAGGCATTTTTGTGAATTCTCAGCAAGATGGATTCATATACTACGATCTCTTCAACACTTGCTTGGTCCAGCTCAACTAGGCTGAAACATAAGTCTTTGCCACTGGCAATAATGCTCACTGCATCTGCTTCTGCCTGGATCTGTCAGTATTGCTGGCTGACTGTTACCACAAGGCTGCTCTGTGCAAAGAGAAAGTGGCTGGAGCTGCTTTGTCCTAGTCTTCTGTTATTTCCCAGTGCATTCTAGGATACTGGAGCTTCCACTGTCTCTCCCCAATGCTCAGTTAACACTATATAAATGCTTCACTAACATGTCATTAATGCAATAGGTGCTGTTACAGAGCATTACCAATGAAATCAATGGAGGCATTGATACCTCATGAAAGTCACATGCTGCTTAATTTTTAACACAACACAATACTACCACTCCTTTGTGAACAGCACTGTGTGGTGCCATTGTAATAATCATGGCAGGTATTGAAAGGCAGTTATAAAGCTTTAAAAATGCTCAATAAATGCCTCATAAACACAGGACACTGACACACGTGCGAACGAGCCCTAAGTTTCATGAAGGATATTTTACAGGAAATCACTTCTGGTAACAGAATCAGATTCAATGCTGTAATGGTTTGACTTCAGTAAGTCAATTCTGATTGGTTTGTAGTGGTATGTATACACTATGCTTACTACTCAGCTTCTTCCACTGACTTTCTGAGTGTGCACATGACATACTGGTTTAGAGTTAACTGACAGACAGGGACAATAAAGAAAAATCATCTTCTACATGAAGCAGAGCCCATAACTGTAGTGAGCAAAATGTTAGAACATGAACCAATTTGCTCAATCTAAATGTTAGAAAACACAAACATTTTAGCAATGTAATTCAGCAACGGTATACTATGGCTCTCACCAATTTCTATAGGTGCCAGAGCTACAGTATATAAGAATCCTTCTTAAAGTCTAGGTGAATGCTTGGAAATTAATTAGGCACTTAGCACCGTAAAGTAGTATTAAATCCAAAAGCAAACATTTACTGTATTGCAGTTTACCAATTCTGCATTAGTTTCCTTTTTTTTTTTTAGGTTTTCTTCCTTAAATTTTCATCTAGCAATCCAGCCAGCAAGTCTTTTTTTTTTTTTTTCACAGCACAAACTCTCTGTATCAACTTACATGGATGAGACCATCTATTTACTACTGGGGGGGGGAATAAAATGATCAGCTTTTATTTATTTGTGGAAAATCTTTATCCCAAAAACTGTTTGCTTCAACTTATAAAGCATGAGCTAGATTTTGGCATTTGTTAGTGGTTCTAAATCTGCTAATACATTTAACACTTCCATCCCCCCAGACTGACAATGCTGCAGTCTGCTGTGCCTCCTCTATGCTCATTCCTCCAGAATAGTGTCTTACTAGGTCTATGTTCACACCTAAGCGTTTTGCAGAAATGCACTACAGTCCTTTTAACATGATTTTCTATGGGACACGTTCAGATCTCCACAATTTCACCCGATGCTCTTTTGGAAAGGGACAAGGACTTTTTAAAATGCAAAAACCTGCAATTTTGGTTCTATAGACTTCAATGGAGACGCTGCAGTAAAGCATGTAGTGCGTTTTTGCTGCATTTTTTATCTGCCTAGCAACAAGGGGAAAAAAAAAAAAAATTGTGGTAAATTATACTCGTGAGCCAAAACAAGATGCTTCCCTTAACGTAATAAATAATAATTGCAAACCATATATGACTACTGGTGCTACAGCACTTTACACATTGCTCATGAACTGTGTTAAAACCTAAAACATAAATGATGATATGTATCTAAATATACATATACGTGCCGCGCTCCACATATTAAACTGAACTACTCATAATGAGTGATAAAAAAATTAACCGTGAAAACAGAAGTGCTTCAAACAAGTGCAACATAAATGTGTGAATCAAGAAAAATTAATATATAAAAAATGAAGTATATAAGGAATAATTCTGCAAATTATATAACAGTCCTCTTTATGCTTCTATAAATATTTCCGTGACAGGTGAGGTAATATAGTGCCACACTTCCCGTGCTCTGTGAATAGGTGTGCGCTCACCTCCTTGTTAACCAGACACCAGACAAGCTGGCTAAACACACTTTTTGTCCTCACTGGACAAGGTGGGAATCTTTACTTTAGCTGCATATCTCCATCCAATGCTGGGCTGCCTTATTGCCACCAGAGGTCTCCCTCCTTCCACACTTATACCTCAATGGTTTTATAGGGGTAGTGAAGATGATTTTCCTCCTCTCAATTGTACCATGTAGAAACAAAAGAACCCACAAATGGTGCCTTATCCTTTTTGAGATCAGAGCCCGTTTAATATAAGGTAAACGCCACTCACATTTGATCCATCAGTGCGGTTATCAGCTGGCATGTGTGTCAATCCTGTCATGTGTGTCAATCTGTCAATCCTGGATAGCTAGCGCCCTCGTCCACCGCGGCGTCGTGACGTCAGAGCCCCTCCCCTACGCGTTACGCCACAGGGTCACGTGGCTTCATCAGGGGGATTATATGTAATATGTGATATAATCCCCCTGATGAAGCCACGTGACCCTGTGGCGTAACGCGTAGGGGAGGGGCTCTGACGTCACGACGCCGCGGTGGACGAGCGGCGCTAGCTATCCAGGATTGACACACATGCCAGCTGATAACCGCACTGATGGATCAAATGTGAGTGGCGTTTACCTTATATTAAACGGGCTCTGATCTCAAAAAGGATAAGGCACCATTTGTGGTTCTTTTGTTTCTACATGGTACAATTGAGAGGAGGAAAATCATCTTCACTACCCCTATAAAACCATTGAGGTATAAGTGTGGAAGGAGGGAGACCTCTGGTGGCAATAAGGCAGCCCAGCATTGGATGGAGATATGCAGCTAAAGTAAAGATTCCCACCTTGTCCAGTGAGGACAAAAAGTGTGTTTAGCCAGCTTGTCTGGTTAACAAGGAGGTGAGCGCACACCTATTCACAGAGCACGGGAAGTGTGGCACTATATACCTCACCTGTCACGGAAATATTTATAGAAGCATAAAGAGGACTGTTATATAATTTGCAGAATTATTCCTTATATACTTCATTTTTATATATTAATTTTTCTTGATTCACACATTTATGTTGCACTTGTTTGAAGCACTCTGTTTTCACGGTTAATTTTTTATCACTCATTATGAGTAGTTCAGTTTAATATGTGGAGCGCGGCACGTATATGTATATTTAGATACATATCATCATTTATGAAAAAAAAAAAAAAAAATTTTTTAAAACGCGGCAAAAATGCATGTACAAAAACACAAATACCGTGTTTCCCCGAAAGTAAGACCTACTCCGAAAGTAAGACCTAGCGGTACTTTTTGACGTACCGCTAATATAAGCCCTCCCCCCGAAAAGAAGACCTACCTCTAATTTTTGCATGTGTCCTGAGAGCTGCCGTATTTAGCCTAGAAACATCCCTGGTTACAAGGTAAGGCCCTTTTACAAGTAGTTACAAGAGCAGGGGCGTCCCTAGGCAGGTGCGGGGGGGTGCACGCCACACCGGGTGACACCTTTTCCACGGGGTGACACCGGACCGGCTCCACCAGGGGGACTGACCATTCGGGCACTGCTTGAGGATCCGTGGTCACTGCAGGGCCCCATAAGAGGCTCAGTCCGTCCCTGTATGTGCTGCTTCTGAAATAAGCAGGCATTGAGGGAACGGACAGAGAGGCAGGCACTTCGGACTCCTCTCCTGGAGGGGGAGGGGCGGGCAGAGTATGCAGCAGGTAAATATGTAATCCCCCAACCCTGGTGACTGCACTGTAGCTTCATGTAGTAGGTAGGGGGGAAGAGAGAGAAGGCAGAGGGGGGGGGGGGGCTTGTTGATTTGAACAGGTGTTAACGTACCAGTAATTTGTACTGTATACTTGTACTTGTTGAACTGGAATAAATGTACCATTTTATTTTTTGGACTTCAATAAAAATAAGACCTACCCGAAAATAAGCCCTAGTGCACTTTTTTACCTAAAATTAATATAAGGCACTCTCTTATTTTCGGGGAAACACGGTAGCACTGCAGAAATTGATCAAACGCAAACTGCATTATGTGTGAACCTAGCCTAATACAGGAGGTGTGTTGTTGGCCAGATCACCAGATGAAAACAAGAGGGAAAAAAGCCAAATTAAAGAAAACTGATGCAGCCACCACATCTATTGATCGGTAAGCTACGGTATAATACATTTTTGATTTTGGGTTTAATATCGCTTTAAGTATAAAACGAGCAATGTCCAAAGTCATGTTTCAGTTAAGAGGGAATTTCCCCAAATATATTGATAAGCACTACAAAACATGGTTACTGACTTCAATGTCTGCAGTGCAAGGCTGAGGGAGTTGTAAAGAGATGGCTCGCCGCTGCAGGTCATGTCTACAGCTTTCTTCAGGGCAGTTATATGCTGTCTGGGATTACCTGGAGAAATAAAAAAAAAAACACATTTAACTACTTTGGCTCTTGTATATGCATACCACTATGGACCACATATATTTTAACTTTTTTCTATAGGCCTGTTTATCCAAAAATATTTTTTTTAGAATTTAAAAAAAATTACAAATACATTTTTTAGTACAAGCAAGACTTTTTGGCAATATCATCTTCCAAATATTTTATTTTCTGTGCAATCTACAGATATAAATTACATATGGTAATTAAAAGAAAAATACATGTTTTCTCTTTTGGTCAGTGTTAGCAATAAGATAAGTATTGTTACTGTAGATCAGGGGTGCTCAACCTGTGGCCCTCAACCTCAAACCATGGAAGCTCATTCAGATATACAAAGAACTCTTTGTAGCAAATTGTTAATCTCAGAACACATGCCCTAATTTGATGCTTGTTGGTGCATAGGCGAAATCATGTTTACATGTACTGCATAGTCCATAAATTCAAACATAAGCATTTTTAGGAACACATGCTTTGATTCTTTTATCTAAAAACTTTATCCCAAAAGGAAAGAAAAAAACTGTTGCTGTAATTGCTTTAAAGTGTTAGCCGGAGTTTGACTTTAATTCATTAGTCAAGTCTATCATCTTCACTCTTGGTGCCACCGAGCAACCATTATGCATAAGTAACTGACCCACAGAATTTCATATTTGGTGCGGTGTCCACTCAAATCAAATGCCAAAATCATAAAATATAACTGGAACACATTTTTTGTACTTTGTGAAAAAAAAGTGAAAATGAATTTTAATATACTTATCATACCAGCAAGCTCTGTCAGCTTCTCAGCCCGTTTATTTCTTGTTATTACGAGGCCTATCTAAAAATGATAAAAAAAATGTGATAAAGTTTAATCAGTAAAGTAAGTAAGGTGGTGCACCTGAATACCCCAGACACACCTTTCTGCCAACTAGCTAGATTTTTCCACTTGTCCCTCTGTCCCTACTCACCCTTGTCACCTTTGCAGGGACATGCAGAGAGGACGAGAGGCTAAGCCTAAGGTTTAGGGACTCTTTTCCTACCTCTTCTTCCCTCTGGTGACATCACTTCCTTCAGGAGGAAGGAGGAGGAGAAGGTGCACACTTCTGGGATAAAAGGCAGAGGAAAGCCAATCACTGAACACAACCATCACCTCCATCAATATGGAACACTTCCAATGAGGCAGCCATTTTCTAGAAGTTCAATATCCTAATGTATTCTAGATTTCTTTTATTTTAAAGGTAAGAATTGTCTTTGAAACGCCTCACCGCTAATTCTTACTCCTCTTTCCAAAACCATTGAATCTTCCATATCTGTGGTCTCCAAACTACAGAACAACCCGTGGGCTAAATCCAAGTTATACAAGAATTTATCCAGCCCGCAGCTAAGGTCGGTGGCATATCCTCAGGATCCACTCAACTCTCACACAGGTCAGCAGGCATCCACTTCTATCCCCCCCAGTCCCTGGCACAGGTTCCTACTGTTGCATTATCATCCTTATCATTCGTTGCTAGGACCATCAGCATCCTTGAAACCAATCACATGCTTGCCCCAGCTTCACAGGAGGATGGAACTTCCTCCATCCAGTCCACATCTCCCAGCTCCCATCATGCTTAAGGTGAGATGTATGTATGAGGGACTGTCACGTAAGGGGGGCACATTGCTCAAAAAAATGAAAGGAACGCTTTGAAAACACATCAGATCTCAATGGGGAAAAATATCATGCTGGATATATATACTGATATAGACTGGGTAATGTGTTAGGAATGTAAGGATGCCCCATTGTTTGATGGAAATGAAAATGATCAACCTACAGAGGACTAAATTCAAAGACACCCCGAAAATCAAAGTGAAAAAATGATGCAGCAGGCTAGTCCATTTTTCTGAAACTTCCTTTCAGCAACTCAAATTAGTACTCAGTAGTTTGTATGGCCCCCACGTGCATGCCTGATAACGGATGGTGCCCTGGGGTATTTCCTCCCAGATCTGGACCAGGGCATCACTGAGCTATTGGACAGACTGAGGTGCAATCGGCCGGGATGGACCGAAACATGATATCCCAGATGTGTTCTATTGGATTTAAGTTAGGCGAACGTGTGAGTCATTCAATGGTATCAATTCCTTCATCCTCCAGGAACTGCCTGCATACTATCGCCACATGAGGCCGAGCATTGTCGTGCACTAGGAGGAACCCAGGACCCACTGCATCAGCGTAGAGTCTGACAATGGGTCCAAGGATTTCACCCCGAAACCTAATGGCAGGCAGGGTGTCATTGTCTAGCCTGTAGAGGTCTGTGCATCCCTCCATGGATATGCCTTCCCAGACCATCACTGACCCACCACCAAAAAGATCATGCTGAACGATGTTACAGACAGCACAACGTTTTTCATGGCTTCTCCAGACCATTTCACATCTGTCACACGTGTGTGCTCATCTGTAGGGTTCAGGTATCGCCTCATGTTACCAGTTGTAACTAGCCAAATGCAAGACTAGTGAAAGAAAAGAAGAGTAGGAAAAAAAATGTCAGTGACCTTCACCTGTAAAACCATTCCTGTTTTGGGGGTCATCCCATCATTGCCCATCTAGTGCACCTGTTGTTAATTTAATTAACACCAAATCAGCTGAAACTGATCAGATCAATATCCCAGGAGTTTAATTGACTTGATGCTATACATCATATATATTGATGATATATATTAATGTATTCCTTTAATTTTTTTGAGCAGTGCATAAGGGAGAATCTCACGTAAGGGTGGACCCTGACGAAAGGGGGGACTGTGCTGGGGACACTGATGTAAGAAGGGCTCTCAGGTAAGAGGGGATCCTGATGTAAGTGTGACTATCATGTAATGGTAGCCCCTGATGTAAGTGGACGATCGCGTAAGGGATAACACTGATGTGCTCTGATGTAAGGGGGAATCTGATGAGAAAGGTGCGAACTGAGTTTAGTTTTGTTTATACTTTGTTATTGGCTCAAGTTTTTTTAAGAATTTCTTTTGTTTTACTGAAGCTCTTTTCCTATTCTGAATCATACCCCGATTAAGTAAACATCCAAGTAAAACTTATTTATTCATTTAAAGCAGTGTCCAACCCTTTGACCTTCCTGGGCCACAATGACAGAAGAGGAATTGTTTTGGGCCATACCAAAAAAATACACTAACAATAAGGGTAACTGATGAGCAGAAAAAGTTGGGCAGATCACATGTTCATGATCACCGATATAGATAACGTTACTATCTAAGTAATAAAACTTCATTTTTTTAATAATATTTTTTATTATAAAAGTAAAAGAGGGCAACATAAAGCTATATTTGACACCGTTTTTCAAAAACAACAAGGATAGCTGATGAGCAGAAAAAGTCAGGCAGATCACTGTAAAAGAAGGCAAGATAAAAACTAGTGCGATATTTGACTTACATTAATTAAATATAATTTAAAAAAATAATAGATATGGGGATTGGATTTCAGCTATGTATGTGCTGTGTGGGGAGGTAGCGGGGGAGTTGTGTGCGGGGTGCGCATCCCACACCAGCATCCCCTAGATCCAGTCATGCGGCATTTACATGCCTGGAGCTAGCCAGGAGTCCCTGCATTCACTGCTGCAGATGCCACTGCAAAAAGGGCAGACCCGGCATCCCTCCAGACGTGCCTTTGCCTGGCTTGTTATCGGTGCTTGCAGGGACTCCCTGGCATCCAGCCAGACATGAATGGGCCTGGCTTATCCATGCCGGGTGTCTCAGTTGATATACTTGCACGGCATCACTCCAGACGTTCCCCAAAAAGAAAAAAAAACAAGCATGTTATACTTACCTGCTCTGTGCAAGGATTTTGCACAGATCAGCCCCATGCAAGGATATTGCACAGAGCAGCTCTGATCCTCCTCTTCTTAGGTCCCCCGCTGGCGCTCTGGGCTCCTCCCCCTTGCCAAGTGCCCCCATAGCAAGCCTCTTGCTATGGGGGCAAGTGTGTACTCACTCCCGTTCACAGTGTGCCCCGCTTTGTGTGTCCACAAAACGGGGATAGGCCCCGCTCTCACTCCCTCCTCACTGGCTGTTATTGACAGGAGTGGAAGCCAATTGCTCCTGCTGCTATCTCTAAGCCAATGAGGAGGCAAAGAGTTGGAAGAGCAGCAGCTCTTGTGCACATCGCTGGATCGGGCTCAAGTATTAGGAGGGCTGCATTTTTGCATGAAATACTTCAAAACTCTTGGATGTGGATGCAGCCCACAGGCGGTGAGTTGGACACTCCTGATTTAAAGTTTATTCATTCATTTGTTTTTTTTCACCTGTGAATATCTATAACATGCCCTGGCACTGAAAAGTTTGGAGACCTTTGTCTATTATTTTGAAAAATCCATATCTATATTAGGCGTAAACTGAAGGTGAAACAAACTCCAGTTTACTTCCTATACTCACCGTTTACAATAAGTATAAGATGCATCATTTGTATAGGAGTGTCAACCATAGATCAGGGCATATGCATTCTTAAAGTTTATCTAAAGCCAAAGCTTTTTTTTTTTTTTTGTTCTAGAGAGTGTGATAAAGAGTTAGAGGCCCTGTCAGGTTTTTATTGCTGTCTGTACTCCAGCTACAGAGATTCAAACTTAATATTTGTCCTGGTGACCATTGATCAAGACTGGAACAGAAGGAAAATATAAAATATATGATAGTACAGATTCTAGACTGCACAGCACTAATATAACCAATAACATATCAGATAAGTGTGGCAGATTTTTTTAAATTATGCCTCAAAACAGACCCATTGGCAACAATGCTCTGCTGTAAAGATTCTGAATTTGTAGCACAAAAATAATCTTCTAAATGTATCAAAAAGTCCCATACTGCTCTCTAGTGGCTAGTATTCACATTAGAAGAGACTAAGGCAGGATTTCTCAACCAGGGTTCTAAGGAACTCTAGGGTTCTTCCAGAGGTTGCTAGGGGCAATGAAAGGGACTTGAGCAATCAGCAATTACTGCCTCTCAGGTAAGTTCCCACTGACACCATTGATTTTTTAGCTACCTGTAAGGAGCATTCTTCCCACTGACCATCTCACTAATGTATCATGAGTTGTGGATTTAGTCATTTTTAGCAGGGGTTACCTGAGACTAGAAAACCAGGGTTAGACTTACCGGTTACTCTATTTCTAGGAGTCTTCCAGGACAGCCCATGAGATATAGGCACCTGCTCCAACAGGAACAGGAAACACATCACCAAATACAATTTCAAAGGAAGTCCCTCTGCTGAACTGGTCAGTCTTAAACAAGAAGCGAAGGACAAAACCTGAATAAAACATATAAAAACAGAAAAACAACATAACACGAGGGCGGGAATCCGGCTGTCCTGGAAGACTGGAAATAGAGTTACCGGTAAGTCTAACACCAGTTTTCTCAAATTGTCTTCCAGGACAAGGATGGTCAGCTGGTAACTGGGAGTCCCGTACTATAGTACACGGTAGCCAGCCTATGTGATAAAGGACATTGAAGGAGTAAATCAGCGACATGAACGTGTATGACCAGTCCAGCCTGTGATGTGCACAGCTGATATGACTAATGGTTACATCACAATCCGCTAGTACTTACAGTCCGATGGGACCCCTGGGTCCTGTGATGATAAAGGCTGAAATAACGGTGGGACTTCCAAGTTCAGCAAAGAATCTGCCTGCACTCCCGTGGATGGCTGCCAGTCCTCAAATTCAAGCCTAGCAAACGGCCCAAGGATGAATGTATGGCTGTAGAAGGTCCAGGTATGCACCACAGCGTGAGGAGATAGCATGTAGATGTCAGGGAGAGGGGGGGGGGGGCACGTATCTCTGACGTGTTTCATCCCACCCACACCCGCACTGGGGTGGGAAGCCGGGCAGTGCAGGGTCCAGCAGCAGGATGTTTAATTAAACCATGAACAACTTAAGCTCCTGACCGGAGCCTAAGCATAAGAGTCCCATGCAAATATAATGCGACTCCACATGCAAAACCAGTAGCACACAATGGTTACTACACATCAGGCCAAAGATACAGAGTACAACATAAAAGCTTAGGCCCAAAAGACAGACTTGTGCTAAGACTGTAAATGTACACTGCAATAAAACTATCACAGAGAGGGTGCATGGCAAAGATAAACCCCACATCAATCCCAAGTAAGTGAAGGACATAGTATACCAGGTAACAAGTTCTCCATCAGGAGCTGAGAAGTTTACAATTCCTTCCTCTCAAATTCTACGTTAGTGGGAATAGAAGACTCTGTGAGACAGGTGGAGATTAAAGTTCTGCCAGATGAGATGTGCTAACAGACTGCAGATCGTAGCGCATGTAGGAAGGCAAGCCAATCACCTGTGAGGTAGTCACACCCAGGTAAAAGATAATAATAGAAACAATTAAAGTGATCTCTGAGTCTGGAGTAGATTGGAAAAACTTTTTTTCTCTCCCTTCTCTTAAGCTCTAATACATGCTAGTATGCAAACATAGAGTAGCAACAAAAATAACTAGCATGCAAAAACAGACACTTTCCCCTAAATGAGAAGCCTTCTAGGATAGCCCTAAAAAAAAGGACATCCACATCTTCTAGATCTAGAGACAATAACCCTTGAAGATTTAATTTACTGTGCTCCCTTACTGCCAGGGAATCAGCAACTATACTCAAAGAAAGATTCATCATCCTCTCACCTTAAAGTAGAGGAAAAATGTCCTTTTGCTGGATCTACTAGAAAAATCCAGCTGAAAAAGGATAGTGGGGCCACTAAATCACCCACGAGATCCACCTTCTGAGGAACCTTACATCCAAAAGCACAGGAGTAGGGGATCCTGGGCAGAGCAGGGGTCCCATATCTACCAAGACCCAAAGAGTGTGAGGTGGAGGCCAACTCCCGCCTTGCGGGGACAAGAAGGCCACAGCCAACATCGGCAGTAGGGGCAGCGGCGTGCGCAAGCTGAACTGCCCAGGTTGGGCGCCACTTATTCCGGGGTGGAAGCCAGGGAAGTGGGCGGGCTGGGGTTCATCATCCCCTCCCCTCAGGTATTGCCAAGGGTGGGATCCAAACCGACGACCTTAGTGCTACCAGGCAGAACTGATGACTACTTAGGGACTGTACATACCCCGCCTCATTGTGGTAAATAGGGATAGCCCAACATTGCCGTCACATTAAGTCCCACCCTGGGGCCCCAGGTGACAGATTACAAGCTAGGTGAAAACCTAGGAACAAACACAAGTAAAAGTAACTAGGTACAGCAACCTCCAGCTTACCTGTGTCCTATTGGTGCCAAGGGCACCTGTATCCACCTGAGCTGTTGCCTGCATTGACTAATCCAAAATGCAGCATTAGCTCCTCCACCTTTAGCTTCCGTCATTAAGGCACCAGCCAGCCCTTCCCCCTTCCCTGCGTCAAAAATGAGGCTTGGAACCAGAGTCTCTGGAGCCTGGAAAGGACTTCACCCCACCCCTGCAACATCTGGTCAAACAGGAACACAGCCAGGCCACAAACCAAAGCAGCTGTCAAGTGCATCCCCACTAGAATGTCCTATAGTGCCGACCATGCACGCACCCAGAAACCCAAACTGGGAACCCATGCTGGTCCCTGTCAATATGGTATGTCCCTTCCAGACATGGCCTTCCCCAGGCACAAAAGGAAAAAGGGAACCAAGCTACCTCCTTCCAATACTGAGGATTGGTCCTGGAGGGCAATCTTAAGAGTAAATCCTACTAGCTGCTCCTAGTGGAGCAAGGTAAGTAAAGTAGTGGATCGAAGAAAAGGATAGCCAGAGAAACAGAGGCCTCCCTCAGCCAGGTTCCAAGTGGTGCATCTCCTCTCTCTGGAGAAAACACAAACAAACTGACCAGTTCAGCCGAGGGACTTCCTTTTAAGTTGTATTTGGTGATGTGTTTCCTGCTCTTGTTGGAGGAAGTGCCTATATCTCATGGGCTGTCCTGGAAGTTGATTTGGGAAAGTGATTTCAAAGGTTCCTCTGTGTTGAAAGGGTTGAGAAAGGCTGCTGAAAGGGGTCTATTAAAAATGCTTTTCACACAATATTCACATAATTTCCACCTAGGATTTACACGTTTTCTAAATTAATCAAATAAGAAAAATGTGTAAGTCAGGCAAAAGTCGTGTAAATCCTTTGTGAACATTTTTAAATAGGCCACCAAATGTCTGTGTTGATCAGTCAGAAAACTTCTCTTTCCATACAAGTCTATGGGAATGAAAAAGAAGCTTGAAGTCAGTCAAATGAAGATCAGATGGAGGTCAACATTCATCAATGAATTCTGAATGATAGCAGAAGCACTGCAAGGTGATGCCAAAGCAAGTTTCATTCATCCATTGAAACATATGCAAAGCCTGCTAACACACGCCCTGAAGATAAAATTCTATAGTTTATGAACCATAGGGTGTTGATTCGCAAAGATGTAAGAATTACTTTAACTGCATTTATCATTTTATGTCAAACGTAATTTTTGTCAACAAAATATTTTGTAAGAAATGGATATTTACAGTACATAAGGAAGCAATGCTTGAAGACAAGAAAACCAATTAATCAATTCACACACACTGTTTTTGTAATTTCAGTCGATGCTAAAAAAATTGAAATTTATATAACAAATGTAACATTTTTACACATACCTGACTTATTGGGTTTTGATCAAAATATTCATCAACAAAATATTCCAACAGCTAAAGGGAAAGAGAAAAATGTATATTGAAAGAATTATTTTACGTTAATTGACATGTTATATTGGCCACGAAGTATAACAAACTCTAAACCAGGGTTCGGCAACCCCGTTGACCATAATATACCTGTCAACTATATGGGCATGTAACAGGTAGGTTACTATCGAGTCCCTGCTGACCCGCAAGTGCTCTTCCTCCCCCAACACGGACTGGCAGAGCAGTGCAGAGAAGAAATGAGCTCAGGTTTCTTGCCGCCAGATCTCTCAAGCTGGGAAGCATACAAAGCTAGTTCTAGGGAGAGGCATTCCCTGCCCCACAGCACAGCCCTTTCATGTGTGGCTGCAGGGTGGGGAATGCCTCTGCCGCCTAGGATTCGCTGTTGGATAGCTCAAGGCTCTTGTACCCCCAAGTGCAGTGTGCTGATCCCTGCCAGACCTCCTCTCCAGTTCATTCAAGTGCGTGACATCATGTGATGAGAGAGGAGGACCGGCAAGGATCAGAGCGAAAGAACAGGTAGCTGTGCCACAGCAGCCATCCTGACCCTCCAGCACTGCCCCCCCCCCCCCCCAGGGCATTTGACTGTCTGTGCCATCCCACTGCAACCATGTGGGTGAATGGGAAGCGATTGGTGGGTACTACTGCCTGTTGACTAAGTACCCTCGTCTGCTGCCTTTGCAGTTGGGAGTTGGTAAAAATACAGCTCCTTAACCCCCTATGCTGTGCCCTCCAGACCCCCCCCCCCCCCCCGTACCATGCCCACCTGACTTCCCTGTACCGTGCTGCCCAGAAACCCCGTACTGTGCCCTCCTGACCCCCCTGTGCTGTGCCCTCCAAACCCCCCCGTGTCAAGCCCTCCTGATCCCAATGTACCATGCCATCCAAAACCCCCTGTGCTGTGCCCTCCAGACCCCCCCCCCGTTCTGTGCCCTCCAGACTCCCCTGTACCGTGCCCTCCAGACACCCTGTGACTGAATTGATAAAACTCAGTGCTGCCTAAAGCAGAGCTCCACACAAAAGGGGAAGCTCCACTTCTCTGCGCCCCCCTCCCCGCTGCCACATATGGCACCTTTTGGGGAGAGGGGGGGGGGGGGGGGGGAGCAGGTACCTGGTTCCGACAGGTACCTGCTCCCGCCACATCGAAATGACCTGGAAGTTCACCCCCCTCACTCACAGCCTTCTGGGACACTTCACAGGTCCCAGAAGACTGCAGCCCATTCACAAAGCACAGCACACTTTGCACATGCACAGTAGGAAATCAGCTTCCTTGTCGGTTTTCCTTAGTGAAAATGGCGGTGCCAGCACATGATAGCAGATTGGAGTGAGGAAACCACTGGATGTTTGGACAGGTAAGTGCCCTAATATTAAAAGTCAGTAGCTATAATAACAAAGATACCAAAAGATTCCATTGTGTCTTCAGTTTGCACCATCATTTGCAGATAGCATCACAATGGCAAAGTGTTTGAAAATGCATTTTAGCCATCGGTGTTAGGATAGATTTGGGAAATAGTGTGTCAAGGAAATAAAAGGGTTAGTTCAGCTTACCTTCAGTGTGCACGTAAGCCTGTTAGGTTTCAGATCCTGATCTTCCATTGTTCTTGACCCATCAACGATAACATACAAGTGTCGCATCTAGTGAAATAAAAACTTTAAAATAACATTACTTCAAAAACATATGTTTGTTGCCCAGTTTCTGCAGGACAGAACAAAGACTGGAACTGGGACCTTTTACATTTTAATGTTCAGCAATTCTTAGAAGATTTTAGGAAAGTGGTAGCAAGGCTGAATTTTCAAGACAATAATCAAGTGACTTTTTTAAATACAGTGGCACTAGGGTTGTCTGCTCAGCATACATACTTACAATCTTAGGCAACAGATGTATACAATTTTATCCACTTTTCCAGAATAGTAAGAAATCCAGGTTACACACATTTTTACTTCACCTTTATTAAAGGAGAGTAGACTTTGCTGGGAATTCCTGCATCTAAGGGGGAGACTCTGCTGGGAACTCTCCTGGATCTAAGGGGGAGGGAGATAACTCGGCTAAGAACTCTTGGATCTAAAGGGGAAGGGGCGACTCTGCTGGGAACTCCTGGATCTAAGGGGAGACTCTGCTGGGAACTCCTGGATCTAAGGGGGAGACTCTGCTGGGAACTCCTGGATCTAAGGGGGAGGGGGATAACTCAGCTAGGAACTCTTGGATCTAAAGGGGAAGGGGGTGACTCTGCTGGGAACTCCTGGATCTAAGGGAGGGGGTTGATTCTTCTGGGAACTCCTGGATCTAAGGGAGAGACTCTGCTGGGCACTCCTGGATCTACAGAGAGTGGGGGCAGGGGCTGGTTGGGGGACTCATTCAATAATTCATAAAACTGTTTTTTATTTTTCAATCTGTGAATATTTGTAAAATTTACAACATGGTCTTGTGGTCGTGTGGAGAAACCTGTTATAGAGTAATACCATAGGAAAAATCTACTTAGTGGTCAGAGAGTGCACACACTGACTGAACACCAAACTATGGAAAGCTGGAAACAGTTCCCCCCCATATATAAGGAATTCAATTTTATTTTAAATCCTTAGAAAGTTTTAAAATAACTTACCATACCAAGTCGAACTTGTCCATGATGCTCAAAAACTCTGTAAAAAATGAATTGAATCCATAAAAATTAAATTATACACTGCATGGCTAGCTGTTACTGTCAATGTGACTTAATGATTACTGAGTAGGCCCCCTTTTCATTGTAATTACAACCTCTAGTTCAAAATAGCACTTCAAAAGTTAGAAAACAGTAGAAGAATTTATAATTTTTCACAAATGCCCCTTAACAGAGGGTCTGACTCACTCCAAACGCTATTGTTGTTTTATGGTTTATTGGTTTCTTTTTTTTTTCTTCTTATTTACCTATTGAACTTTACTGTTTTATTATGTTTTTTTCTGTCTGACAATAAAATAGTTGTTAAGTGATTATTAGTCACTATATCCTGTTCAGTGCAAGCATTGTATCACTCCATGTTCTATATGTACTTTTCATAATTCAAAAGAAAAAGTTTCCTGTACTGTTTTTATCTATGTATATGCAACATTGTTGCAATAAAAAATGCTTACTAAAACATGTATATACTGCATTTTCAATGTAGATTGGCAAATACAAATATTATTTCACCCCCAATTATTTTGGGTCACCAATTTAAAGGGATTTCTTATTTCTCTTAAAACTACAGTATTTGTAAAACATACATCAGACGCCGGAGATGCTAGGGTATAGACCTTACCTATTTAATTATTTTGAGGTTTCAAAGAAGCAAACCACACTATTTAGCTTAACCTGAATTAAATGACCACATTTTGGCAAGTGGAAATAGCAATAAAAAAAAGTAACCCATAGCAACCAATGATATATCATTAGTAACCTAACACCTGGTTTGCCCACACCTTTCCTGGACTTTAGCGCTGTTGTTGCATGCATGTTGTGATCTTTGAGAATGATTTATTTTACTATACATGTAGCAAAAGATGTCAGTAAGGGTTGTTTTTTTTAAGAAAACGTAAATACTTTATAGCTCTACACTGGACAGCTTTCAACTTAGCCAATTACACTGCATGAGCTAAAGTCTCATTTGGCTAGAGGAGAAAAAAAATAGGTTCACATATTTACCTTATTTCTTGCTCCTGCAGGCTTCTTCCTCTTCATGGGACTGGTCTCCTAAAGTCACTTCACTTGACTGCCTAGCCAACAGCATATCTCTTACTTCATCAGGTACAACACAGAACAAGAATTCCTGCATAGCACTATACAGAGGGATGGTATTGGCCCACCCCGCAGTGTCAGACAACGGAGGAAAACACCAACTGTTGGCTGATGAGGAATAGGGTACATACAGGTGAAACTTGAAAAATTATAATATCGTGCAAAAGTTCATTTATTTCAGTAATGCAACTTAAAAGGTGAAACTAATATATGAGATAGACTCATTACATGCAAAGCAAGATAGTTCAAGCCGTGATTTGTCATACTTGTAATGATTATGGCTTACAGCTCATGAAAACCCCAAATCCACAATCTCAGAAAATTAGAATATTACATGCAATTAATAAAACAAGGATTGTACATAGAACAATATCAGACCTCTGAAAAGTATAAGCATACATACGTACTCAGTACTTGGTTTGGGCCCCTTTTGCAGCAATTACTGCCTCAATGCGGCGTGGCATGGAAGCTATCAGCCTGTGGCACTGCTGAGGTGTTATGGAAGACCAGGATGCTTCAATAGCGGCCTTCAGCTCTTCTGCATTGTTCGGTCTCATGTCTCTCATCTTTCTCTTGGCAATGCCCCATAGATTCTCTATGGGGTTCAGGTCAGGCAAGTTTGCTGGCCAATCAAGCACAGTAATCCCACGGTCATTGAACCAGGTTTTGGTGCTTTTGGCCGTGTGGGCAGGTGCCAAGTCCTGCTGGAAAATGAAGTCAGCATCCCCATAAAGCTCGTCTGCGGAAGGAAGAATGAAGTGCTCCAAAATCTCCTGGTAGACGGCTGCGTTGACCCTGGACTTAATGAAGCACCTGAACAACAAACAACGCCAGCAGATGACATGGCTCCCCAAATCAACACAGACTTTGGAAACTTCACACTGGACTTCAAGCATCTTGCAGTGTGTGCCTCTCCATTCTTCCTCCATACTCTGGGTCCTTGGTTTCCAAATGAGATGCAAAAGTTGCTCTCATCAGGAAAGAGGACTTTGGACCACTGAGCAACAGACCAGGTCTGTTTTTCTTTAGCCCAGGTAAGACGCTTCTGACGTTGTTTGTTGTTCAGGTGCGGCTTGACAAGAGGAATATGACATTTGAAGCCCATGTCCAGGATCCGTCTGTGTGTGGTGGCTCTGGATGACTCCAGCCTCAGTCCACTCCTTGTGAAAGTCCCCAACACTTTTGAATGGCCTTTTCCTGACAATCCTCTCCAGGCTGCGGTCATCCCTGCTGCTTGTGCACCTTTTTCTTCCACCCTTTTCCCTTCCACATAACTTTCTATTAATGTGCTTTGATACAGCACTTTGGGAACATCCAGCTTCTTTTGCAATTACCTTTTAAATGGCTTTCCCTCTTTATGGAGGGTGTCAATGATGGTTTTCTGCACAACTGTCAGGTCAGCAGTCTTCCCATGATTGTGATTCCTACTGAACCAGACTGAGAGACCATTTAAAGGCTCAGGAACCCTTTGCAGGTGTTATGGCTTAATTAGCTGATTAGAGTGGGACACTTTGACCCTAGAATATTGCACCTTTTCACAATATTCTAATTTTCTGAGATTGTGGATTTGGGGTTTTCATGAGCTGTAAGCCATAATCATCACAATTATGACAAATCACAGCTTGAACTATCTTGCTTTGCATGTAATGAGTCTATCTTATATATTAGCTTCACCTTTTAAGTTGCATTACTGAAATAAATGAACTTTTGCACGATATTCTAATTTTTTTGAGTTTCACCTGTATGTGTACTTATGCCATCCCACTAAGGCAAATGAGCATTTAGCCCATGCAGTGTGTGTAAGGGAGTGTGCCCATTGCATGATTAAATTTAACAAAATGCCTGGAGCTGGGCTTTAATTTGCATACTCATGACCCTATGTGTTAGTCTTTGTAAATTGAGTTTCATATACAAAAAATATAAATAAAAATGCATTATTACTTGAAAATAAAGAAGAAACTAATGCATGGTAATGAAATCTTTGGTGTTCTTTTTATTTATTTTATAATACCCAAAAAGTAATTGTACTATAAACACATAAATATGACATCTAATAATTTTCCTTCTTTATCCTGATCGCATCCATTACTTAGAACAAAATAAATACCTTTTTCTTTTATCTTTAAATAAAATTTCATCGATTGTGGCTTTTAGGGATCCAGACTCGTCTTCCTTGAGAACCTCCCTGAAGAAGAAAGCAATTAATTTTTTAACACATGGTTAATGGGCTGGGACCACAGATATATCACACAATGAAGGCACAGTTATTACCATGTTCTTTCATAGCCACCTTCCCATCGCTTGGTTCTTTCTGGTTCCTCATCCATCTTTAAATGTTCTGATATTTTATAGGCTTTATTCTGAAGATAAATAGGGATGTTAAACAGAAGTATACATCAAAAGGGATTTATTGGTAGTTATATAGATAATATACAGTACTACAGTGATTACAGGGATTTCCTGCCCCACAGCACCTGTAAAGTCCTAGCTGTCTTTTATTACTCTCATTGACACCAATGCTGGGGACATTTTACTACTCACACTGACATTATTACTGAGGGGAGGAAGCTGACAGGCTCAGAGAGACATGCTGACAGTAGAGGAATTGCAACCAGACAGGGATAGCCAAAGAGTCAGATGTGGTACAGGGGCTGTAAAATATCCAGGTCTGGCTACATTCATTCTCCATGGTCCCACTGTATACAGGAACATAGCCATCCTCTCTTGCTCGCTCCTGAGATGGACTATGGGATTTGTAGTGTGCATAGTTCAGAGTACATGTAATGTGTACTGGTCGTTCCAAACAGAAGTGAAGGGGAAAACAAAATACAAGACTAGGAGCTTACTGGGGATATTACAAGGAGGCAGGAAAACACAGTAGGAAATAATTTCACGAAAATAGATTACATGGCCTTTAACCACTTGCCTACCGGGCATTTATACCCCCTTCATGCCCAAGACAATTTTCAGCTTTCAGCGCTGTCGCATTTTGAATGGCAATTGCGCGGTCATGCAACACTGTACTCATATTACATTTTTATCATTTTTTTTCACACAAATAAAGCTTTCTTTTGGTGGTATTTACTTGCCGCTGGGTGTTTTATTTTTTGCGCTATAAAAAAAAAAAAAAAAAAAAAAAAAATTGAAAAAAAAAAAACGTTTCTCTTTGTATTATAAAATTTTGCAAACAGGTACTTTTTCTCCTTTACTGATGTGCATTGATGAGGCTGCACTGACGGGCACTGATAGGCAGCACTGAGAGGCGGCACTGATGAGCTATCACTGATATGCAACAATGATGGCCACCGATAGGTGGCACTGGTGGGTGGCATGGACTCACGGCCAGGGGTGTATTTACAACAAGGCAAACAAGGCATTTGCCTAGGGCGGCATTTTTCAGTGGGGGCAGCACTGCCCCTTGGAAGAAGGTATGGAAGAAGGGACACACACGGCATGGGGACCTGGTGGGGTTCCGAGAGATGCTGTGGGTTTCATGACGGTGTATGCACAGCCCGACTTTCATTCCTGGGGATGTCCGGAGCTGTGAAGTTGAGTGTCTCTCTCTCTCGACATGGGGGATGGTGGCTGGTGTATGGGGGCAGTGGAAGGCTCGGGTGGAGGGCAGGGGTGTTCTTGGTCAATTTCAGACTCTTTCTCCTGGGTGTGTGGGGAGTGCCAATTTTTGTGTTGCCTAGGGCAGCACAAATCCTAAATACACCACTGCTCAGGGCACTGACTGGCAGCACTGCTGGGCACTGATGATCGGTGCTGATCCGTCCTCTGACAATTGCAGGTTATCGGCAGTACTTTCCTCACGCTGTCACAGCGTACGGAAAGTGCAGCCAATAACCAGCAATTGCATTTACCGGTGAACTGCTGTGTCATTGGACACAGCTGATCACATGCTAAAAGGCCGCTGTGATTGGCCTTCTACCACATCACGTGATCAGCTGTGTCTGTAGGACACAGTGATCATGGTGATTGCTGGGGAGGCACGTTCTGGGAGGACGTCATATGACGCCCTCCCAGAACTGGACAACCGTGCTGTAGCCGTCATTTGGCTATAGCACGGTTGGCAAGTGGTTAAGTAGTGGATGTGTATGGATTATTTTTGGAGAATAAGGATATTGTTTATTGTCACTTTAACCCCTGAAAGGGTTTAACCCCCTGCAAGGGAGAACTGTCAGGATTCCAGGAGTTCAGCTTTAAAGTAGATCTAAGCCCAATCACAAAAATCTCTTGTGAGCTTTAACGTAACGTATTCATTTCATAAGTCAGCTTCATTTTTTTCTTTTGTTTTGTGGACACACACTTGGTGCATCTGAGTGCACGTGTTTTTTGCATGTGCAGCAGGCACAACTTTTAAAATCATGCAACACCAAGCTGCATGGTACTGCAGTTTCTTGGATTTTGGTATCTGCAAGATGCATGGGGGTGCCCATGGCCCCCACGCACATCTGCAGACTTCTGCACATTCCCAAGCGGTGCAGGAAAACACACGCTTCTGCACTGCAACTAGTGTGAACCTGCCCTTAGTAATATTTTCATTAAGATAAAATAATGTTCCAGCACTTCCTGTTACCATTGTGTCCTAACTGCATCACCCTGCCCAATGAGAGACTACCAGTGGCCATGCTGACACAAATTGCACAGGAATGGTCCACTATTGTCAAGAAGCCAATCCTGAACAATATTGTACAGCCAATGCTGGAGAAGGCACATGTAAACAAGAAGGGGGAGATTTATTAAAGCTGGTTTCACTCAGAATCTGGTGCAGCTGTGCATGGTAGCCAATCAGCTTCTAACCTCAGTTTGTTCAAATAAGCTTTGGCAATAAAATCTGGAAGCTGATTGGTTCCTATGCAGAAGTGAGTCTGATTTTGCACTCTCCAGTTTTAGTAAATAAACCCCACAATGTCTGGAAAAAAGCTGGATAATATCAGCAGCATTGAGCCATAAACAGGGATGAAAAATATGGAAGCTGAAATTTATGAAAATAAACATGGTAATTGTTTACAAAGCAAACAAAAATGAGGGTTTTAGGCTGCTTTCACACTACAGGATTTAGTAAATGCACGCAAGTCTGCATGTGTTTACCAAACACTAAAAAAAAATTGGAAAAAAAAAAAAAAAAAACACGTCAAATTCCCAGTGCAATTCATTGTTAATGGCACTCCAACTGCAATAGGCAGTGTGGCAAGATGCGCAAAGATTAACCTATTCCTGGCCGCGCTATAGCCGAAATACACCTACAGCACTGTCATCCAGTTCTAGGAGGGCGTCTACAGCTGATCACAAATTGCGGTAAGGGGCCACTCACAGCGGCCCTTTACCATGTGATCAGCTGTGTCCAATCACATCTGATCACCTTGTAAACAGACTTGCCGGTTATTGGCAGTCATTTCCTCCCAAGCTGTCACAACATGAGGAGAGAAGAGCCAGAAACTGGTAATTCACACAGGGGACATTTAATCCTCAAGCTCACTGGAAGTTTTTACAGCTGCTGTTTTTGGCTTTTGATGTTTTTTTTTCTACAGCCAGTAAAACCCCCAGCATGTTATCCTATGTGTCCATGCAGATATAGACTGCAATCAACATTTTTTGGCTTCATCCTCTTCTTCCTCTTCTTCAAAAAAAAAAACAAATAAAAAACAGGACTAGTGGGTTTCTAGAGGAGTTTTTTAGCTGTAAAAATGCTGAAAAACACAGCAAAACACCACAAACCAGCGTTTATGGAAATTTTTTTTTGACCGTAAAAAAAAAAACCGCAAACATGGGAAATCGGCGCTAAAAGCTAATGCAAAAACACTAACTAAAAAAACGTTTTTAACGTGACTTTACACAGCTAACGTTACCAGCGTTATCAAAAGGCCCAGTGTGCATGAGGGCTTACACTGATCATGGGTGCACTGATTATCAGCGCTGCCAATCAGTGCCCACCAGTACAGCCTCAACAGCGCACATCAGAGGAGGAGAAAAATTGCTTGTCTACATAATTTTATAACAGAAACTAATAAAAACATTGTTCATAATATTCAGTCTTTTTTTGTTTGTTTAGCAAAAAATGAAAAAACCCAGTAGTGATTAACCAATACACACCCGGCCAATAGCCAGAAGGCGGCCGGCAAAATGTACTGCATTTCCGGGTTGGACGCCAAATGGCGTCCTCCCACACATGCGCACTTTTCGTGCTTGCAGAGCCGCGCAGCGGAGCGATCTGTCACCGGCCGTGTACCTCGGACACGGCCGATGACAGATCTGAGTATCGGTCCTGTTGCCGGTACCATGTGACCTGCTGTGACCAATCATAGCAGGTCACATGACAGTTGTATACAATGGATGGCCTCATTCATGCCATCCATTGTATACTAGTGTCTGGCTGTGAATGGTCACAGCTAATAACATGCACATGTCATTTGATTAGCTGTGGCCAAATCACAGCTAAGCAAACAAAAAAAAAAAGCCTGAATGAATCGATGTCATTCAGGTAAATGCTTGCTTATAGCAAAGTAATTCTTTGCTATAAGCAAATTGTGTAAAAAAATAAAAAAAATACTGATTACTTCCCCAAAGTAGTACAATGTTACTATGGTAACATTGTACTACTTTGGACATAGTGAAATATGAAAAACAAAATCTTAAAAAAAAAAAAAAATTTAATAAAAAATTAAAATAATAAAAAAGTAAAAAAAATTAAAACATACATCACCAGTCAGTGTCCCTGATCACCGCCATGCCAGTTATATGATGACGCTGTACGGCACTAGTAACAGTATGTAAAAAAAAAAAAAAAAATAGTGAAAAATAATGGTTTGCATTTTTTCATTTTCCGAAAAATTATGACAAAAAAAAATACAACTTAAAAAAACTAGCCATGCCTCTTATGAAGTACGTCGGACTGTCTACTCTGCAAAAAGGGGTCATTTGGGGATATCTGTACTGTTCTGACATTCTTGGACCTCAAGAAATTAGATTGGCCGTCAGTACTTCAGGATTGATCAATATTCAGATATATCCCATAGTTTTTGAACTCTATAAAACTTTCCTACAAACTAAAAAATACATCCTAATTTAGGTTATTTTCACCAAAGAAATGTAGCAGAATACATCTTGGCCTAAATTTATGAAGAACAATTTTTTATTTTCAAACTTTTATAACAGAAACAAAGAAAAACATGGTTTTTTTTTCAAAATTTTCGGTCTTTTTTTGTTAATTTAGCAAAAAATAAAAAACCCCAGTGGTGATTAAATACCACCAAAAGAAAGCTCTAGTTGTGTGAAGAAAATTATAAAATTTTAGTTTGGGTACAATGTTGTATGACCGCGC